CCCCCGTCGACGTTCGCGCGCGGTGATCAAGCGAGAGGAGCCTCATCAACCCTCACATCAACTCGATTGGCCAGTCCTGGTACCAAGGGCTTCGATTAGATGGCGTCGGAACGGGATGCCGATTTCTGGACTTGGCTTGGCTCATGCGCGGGCCGCGCCATTCCTCTTCAGCTATGCCAGAGAGACTCAATGTCTCCGCGAGTGGCCTCCTTCGCCTTGGACTTGGCGACCTAGCATGCTCATTGCTCAATGCTGGGGGACGCGTCGTACCCTCGCTAAATCTTCTTCTTGGCAGGCATACAACGGCATCTTCCAGACACTTTACTACTGTGTCAATGAGACGAGGTATCGCCATCACCGGTCGGCGGTCCAGGCTTGGCGCTCTCAGCCATCAGCCATCGAGATTGCCCAAACCCCCCTGGTCCCAAGTACTGATCCCAAAATTTTCTGACTAGACATTAACGCGTCAGGGTTTCACGAGCTCGGGCTGTAACTCGGTTATTGACTCGCAGAGGAAACGAATTAGGAAACAGCCGTCTATGCTATACACAAGAAGCGACTGGAACCTCTCTCTGCTCATCAGACGTGGAAGGTAAGCTTTCGGGTGGAACGCGAGTGGTGCGCAGTTCATCCTTCGTGGTCCCATCTGAAAGCCTCGAGTTGCTGGGCAGACTACAAGGTCGTCGATAAGGTTCGAGCAAGATATCACACGGCAAAAAGGTTTTAGCCCATCCATTTCATGGCTCTCATCATACACAGCGTTTCCCTGGCTTTCCTTTGATTGAGTGAGATATGCAAAAACATAGTGTACAAATCAATTCAACCTTTGAGCCCTGCCCTATAAGCCCAATTTGAATTGGCACACCTCCTTCGACTCAACCCCAGATTTTAGGGCTCTCCCTTGGAAATCGTCCCTGCAGGGGCCCTGCTCTAACTTGTTAGGAGACCGAACCCGAATGAGAAGCCAACCCACCCTTCCCTGGGTGTGTCCTAATTGTAGTGAGCAAACCTGGCTCTAGCAACTCCCTGCCGCTGGCGGAACGTTTCTGGGAGCATCCCGGTGACCTTGGCAAGCCCACGAAACTCAAGTCGCCTCGCTGGCGGGGCCCCTATTTCGAATGTCATAGCTGGACTCACAGTCCACACTTCACAAAAAAATTCAAGGTTCAGCCAGACCCCGGGTCTGGCCGCGGATCATCTCCCCTCCTGCTTCTTTGAACATCATGCCCTTGGCTGGCTGTGTCGGACAGCTCGGACGCCCGCTGTCGTCTTGGAGCGGGGGACCCTGCCTTTTTTTTTTCCCCTTCTTTCCTCTACCCCTCCGTACGAATACTTCTTCGTCCCCCAGGCTCCATCTTCACCCGGCCCTCGGGGTGACCCCTGACCATACTGTGTAGATGAACGACAGCAACTTTAGGAGCTTTCAACGACGAGGTGCCCTAGGTTCAAACCTCGGAAGATACCGCGGCTGGCTCATATACGAGTACAGACTCCCTCCTAGAGGCCTCGTAGAGGATTCCTCGCAACCGGGCGAATCAAAGAGATTACCGCTGAACAGCCCTGGGCGACGTAACGTAGCAGCCAGGGTGATTTTTCCGCGCATCCTCTAGACTTGACAATCCGAGTCACAGGACGCCCAGTTTTGGCACTAGGGAACCGCCTCTTTTGTCCCCTGTCAACGCCTACTTGACTCGGGTCGACTCAAGCCGTTTCGTTCCTATGTTTTCCAAAGAACGAACTGGCACATCAGATTGGTCGATTGCAGGGCACATTCTGACGCCAGCGAGTCAAGTAGCTCATACAGGTCTTGCTTTTCCTCAAGAGGAATCGCTGATTGCGTTTCCGTAGCCCGTAGTAGCCCGTGGGAGCCGGTGGCGGATTGACGCCTAGATACGGGTAGCTTGCTGGCACCGGACGACCGGCCCGTCGTGTTTTTTCCTTCGTTCTACTACGGTATCAGGCCAAAGTTTAACCCCCCTATCAGGTATCTTCGGCCGTGCTTCCAGAGATTATGTCAGCAGCACAACTTTTGAGATCCGCGTGCACGTCAAGCACAATTCTGGCCATTGAGAGTCACTGCTTTGCCTGGGCCAGACCCATACTACCTGGTAGGGAGTTTAAACTTACCCATACCACCATTGTAAGTAAAGCCTCAAGAGAGGCGTCGTACGTACTCTCTCCTACCTAGAGAAACGACCCTGAGCTTCAACGGGCACCCTGACTCAGAAACCTTGGTATTCGAGAGTCATCCAACGGTCAACCATACCAAGCAAGTGGAGCGCCGGGACCTTTACAACTCCCGTCCACGTTGCCCGTCCCCTTCCCGAAAGCCCCCCCCGCGGAATGGAGCTCGGGCTATCACGCGGCCGGTGAGCAAGTGGGAGCCGAACGATGCCCATTGCAAAGTTGGCCCCCGTAGTTCTCCGCGTTCTACCTTCCCGCGGTTCCCGGTTGTGGAGCTTCTTTGTTCTCCGCGGCCATCTCACCTGTGCCTGGTGGCCACGATCCCGCTGCCGTGCCAGGCCCCCATCCCGATTTAGCAGCGTCCTCTTCTCGATCTGTGTTCAACGCGTTTCTTCTTCCGTGTGTCACTTCCCGCCTGATTGTCGATCCGAGTGTCAAGAACCCATGCGTCCAGGCCCCCCCCCCATCCCTTTGTCGTCGCCGAGGAATTTCCGATCTGTCAACATCCCCCTGAGAGAGAGGGGGAGGGACCCATATACTCCGCAATGCGGGCGCACACGAACTCGGCAGTTGAGATAAGATCGAGGTTGACATGAGGCTCCGTGGGCCCTGATCTTGGGGAAATTGACCACGTCTCAAAAGGTTGTAAAAAGTCGTCTCGTTTTCTTACAAAAATAAAACACAAGTCTGGAGCGTTGGGTTCGGCCCGCCTCTGATACTTTTTTTCTGGGGTAATTTCCGGGCGGTTTTCTGTTGTCTTTGTTGGCCAAATTCAGATCAGCGGAACTCTGGAGGTTCCGTCTGAAGTCCAAGTATTGACTCTCAGCAGCTCGCGGGGATACGATGCGACTCCTCTGCATGCGTTTTAGAAATGGCCATGGCAATCTCGGGCCAGAGGTGATTACGTGGCATCTCTCCTGGCCGCCTGATGTCGAAGACTTCCCTACTGACTAGTTCCAGAATAGCGTCTCCTCTGCATATAGATACCCGTTGGAGAATATCACAAGCTCGCAGCATGACGTCCGCATTGTCATCGTTCTCGCAAGAATTGCACATTCGGCAGCGCGGACTTGTAATTCCGTAATTCCGTTGTCAAACTCTGGCTTACTTGCCCAGAATGACCCGATGACAAAAGCCTCTCCGCATCGCCGCCCTCCCCGCATCACCACTTCCCCGTGCTCACCATGACCTTTTGGCGTCGGCAGTTCTTTTATTGGCCATTTAAGCTTTTCGGATGCCAGTTGTGTCGCCGGCGCAATTTGGAACTGTAAAAGAGTGCCGTTTCTGTAGGCGTATAGTCTAGGCGTCTAAGGTTTGGTGATGTCAGCTTTTGGGTTTCGGCGCGGCTGGAGTTGCACATTTGTGTTAGATGACTGATCAGTTGAGGACTGTTAAATAGCCTGAAGATCAAATCCGGAGACAGGATATATATTGCATGCCATCCGTAACGACCAACAGGAGCCGTTGGTAATGGCTCTAGTCATGATACTGTATCTAGAACGACGGTACGTTGTAAAGCTTAATCCTGCCTAGCATCGTCTTTTGTGCGTCTTCGAGCTCGTGAGCTACCTAAGCGATCATGGACTCTCCGATGAAAGCAATGGATCTGGATGACAGCACTCACACGTACATCGAAACGGCCGGGCTCTTGCTCCGACAATACTGGCCGATTCTACTCCCTCTCGCCGTGTTAGCAAATGTCCTCCGCACCCGTTACCTATCCCCGCTCCGTCCATACCCCGGGCCGTTCATTGCCTCATTTACCCGTTTCTGGACGGTTTTTTCCACCGCATCCGGTCATACACACCTGGATCACATTGCGCTTCACCAAAAATATGGCCCGGTCGTTCGCATCGCGCCGAATGAGGTATCCATGGCATCGCCCGAAGCCGCACGGCACCTCCTGAGCGCCGGCAAACGATTCTACAAGACGGCGTTTTATGGCGTGTTTCCGCCACCGGAGAACCCAGACATCTTCACGGAAGTCGACGAGGAAGCTCATGCAAGAAAGAAGAAGGTTGCCAATGTTCCGTATAGCATGGCGGCGATGCAGCAGCTCAGTCCCTTCCTTGACGATACCATTGACCTACTGGTGACCAAACTTGACGGCTTCGCGTCGCAACCCATGGAGTATAAGGCTGACAAGTCGGTTGACCTTGGGGCATGGCTGCACTACTTTGCCTTTGACGTGCTTGGCGAGGTGGCTTTCTCGCGAAGCTTCGGGTTTCTAGCTGAAGGTAGAGACGTGGAGGACGCCATTGTCACCATTGACCGCTCACAGGCTTACAACGGGATCGTCGGTCAGGTCCCGTGGGTTGATAAGCTACTGCGACGGAACCCCTTGTGGAAGTTTATCCCAACGCTCAACACCAAGAATGCGCCAATTACTCGGATTGCGTTGAGTGAGCTGGAAAGAAGGCGACCCTTTGATAAGGAGAGTGAGGGCAAGTTACGGAATGACGACGGGAGGAAAGACCTGCTATCGAGTCTGATCAAGGGTCATTTGAAGGATACCGAACAGTTTACCGAAGGGGACATTTTTGCCGTTGCTCATGGCGCCATGTAAGTGTCAATATTTCGTGAGAATGGCCAGTGTCCAGGACTGACTGGGTCGCAACAGCTTTGCCGGATCCGACTCTACTGCTTCAACCATGCAATCACTCTTCTGGCACGTCCTGTCCGCACCGCACGTACACTCTAGGCTGGTTGCTGAAATCGAGGATGCCGTCAAATCCGGGGCGATGTCCTCCACCGGCAACGTATCCTGGAAAGAAGCCCAACAGTTGCCATATTTCCAGGCCTGCCTGAAGGAGGCCATGCGCGTGCGACCTGCAGTAGGACTCAACATCAGCCGCTTGGTTCCACCGGAGGGAGCCGAACTAGATGGCCACTTCTTCCCTGGAGGGACGAAGGTGGCCGTCAACGGCTGGGTCCTGCACCGCGACAAGCGCACGTTTGGCGAAGACGCTGATGACTATCGCCCGGAGAGATGGCTGGTGGATGATGATGAAGCCAAGAGGATGGAGCGGTACATGTTCCAGGTGAGTTGACAAAGGACTTACTCTCGGACGCGACAGAGCTAACAGTTCTCTACAGTTTGGCGGAGGAAGCCATGTCTGCATTGGGCGGAACCTGGCTCTATTGGAAATCAACAAGGTTGTGCCGCGTCTACTTAGAGATTTCAAGTTCAAGCTTGCACATCCTGGGCGACCACTACGAGCTAGCGCTACTTTTTTCGTAGTCCAAAGTGGGCTGGAGGTATCGATTGAGCGACGAGGATTTGCCTAAACACCTGTCTTTAGTGTGAAATTGCCAGGGTAAATGAGCAAAAAGATTGAGCGACAGTCCTTCATAGTATTTCTAATGAGATAAGATGAGAATAGTCACAAAGTTGGTGTCTTATGATTCTGACTCATGGTGATGTTTGAGTCACTGCCTCGTCAAACGGATACAGGGGAATTGCACCATCTAATTCAACACTTCCCAAAAAAGACAGCTCAGAGAAAAGCTAGTCGAGGTTGTCGTTCAATCCTGTAGATCCCCGACTTCCGGCCCGAGGGAGTGGTCGCCGCCCCATCCCCGCGTGCAACGTCGGGAAGTGTCCGACGTTGAGGGACCAAATCGGGGCAAAACATGCCATCCGCGTGTCTTCATTGTGGGTTGGGATGGTGCGAGACCAACCTAAATGGCCGGATAGGCTGCGGGGGGAAATCCTATTCCTCCGAGCTCTTGATTAAGAATCCAGTCAGAGACGACCGAGCACGGGAATCAGCGTGGTGCTGCGGGGTGTCAGATACGGTATCACCATCGCGGTGCGAAATGGCGTCACGCCGGGCTCGGCCCCGACCCCACCGAGGCTTTCGTTATCTCCAACCCGGAGCCGTGGGCGGCCAGCGTCGGACAGCTGGGTGGTTTGATAAAAGCGGTGGATGACCCAATATCTGTAGCCCCAGTGTACATGTTTCGTGTCCTGCAACTTTGAACTTAATCTGGAGCCTCGCAACCAAATGGGTAGTACAAGTCAGCAGCAGCAGCTCCAAGTCGCCATCATCGGCGCGGGCATCGCCGGCCTGACGGCTGCTATCGCGTTGAAAGACCACCCAGGCATCAACGTGCAGATCTACGACAAGGCGACGGAACTGCGGGAAGTTGGCGCGTCGATTGCGTTGGGACCCAATGGCCTGCGGACGCTGGAAAAGCTGGGCGTCCATAATGCCTTGGACGATTCAATCGCCTTCCGCAACAAGTCGGGCTACCCCATGATCTATCGGTGAGTGTGTTGATATTGGATCGCACGGCAGCTGAGTCTGACGCCATGAGTAGGCATTACAAGACTGGCGAAATCGTCTCGGTTGACGAGCATCACGGCAGCGTGGAGGCCCGCCATAAGACGGCAAGATTCCACCGCCCGCATCTGCAGCAGGCTCTGCTCAAGCACATCGATCCTGCCCAGATCCACCTCAACAAGGCTTTCAAGACCATTCAGAACCAAGAGTCAACAGGCAGGCTGAATATCACCTTCGCAGACGACACGGCCGTCACAGCAGACATCCTTCTCGGCGCCGACGGCATCCACTCGGGTGTGCGGAGCTTCTACGTTCCCTCGTCTCGGTCAAAGTGGACCGGCTGGACGGCATTCCGCGCCGTGTACCCCGTCTCCCATCTGTCTCATATCCCCGACATCCCGGACGAGGCGGAACACTGGTGGGGGATCGATCGCACGTGGTTCATGTCAAAGCTGGGCAGAGATCTCTTCTGCATCGTCGCTTCCCACCAAAGCGACCCCGATGCGCCCGATGCGCTGTACAAAGACACCGTCTGGAACACTGGCAGCGACATCGACTTGCTCAAGGAGCATTACAGCGACTGGCACCGTCTGGTGCGCGAGATCATCGAGGCAACGCCTGCAGATTCGTTAAAGGTGTATCCCAACGCCTCTGCCCACGGGCTCGAGAGCTGGGTCCTGGGGCAGGACAGGGTGACGTTTGCCGGCGATGCGGCGCATGCACATGGCGGAGCTTTTGCTGCGGGTGGGAGTCTCGCTATCGACGATGCCTGGGCCTTTGCGGCATCGATCCAGCACGTCTTCCCCCCGTCGGCCACGGAGCTCCCGTCGGCTGCGGACATTGCGACAGCATTGAAGTTGTACGAGAAGACCCGGAAAGCGCATACTGACCGGGTGCTTGAGACGGTGCATTCGACGAATAAGAAAAAGGTCGAGAGGTTGGCGGTGGTGGAGAATGATGATGGCTTGCGGGCGAGGATGAAAAATCGGGTCGAGCCTGTTTGGATCCACGAGCATGATGTCGAGTCGGTATTCGGGCAGGTCGTGGCGCAGGAGAAACGCCCTTCGGTACCAGGGGCAGCGTCAGATCCATCAGAGGGGCAGATAGGAAGCCGTCTTTAGAGGCCACGCCCGCAAGATGGTTGAGGAATCTTGGCAGCTTTGCGTGAGAGTGAATAGAGATATCCCCTCGAAGGTGTGAGCGTGATGTTGATTTGCCTGGAAAAACCTGCTTTGAGTGCTTTCGAAAGCATATCGCAACGACTGATTCATCTAGTTGACAAAGGTCAGCTCATCTGCCGTGTATGACCCCCCGCCATAAACATCACAGAGGGGATGTACGAATCTCGTAGCAAACTGCATGATAGTAGCCCGGTCTCGCATCAATGAAATCAGACTCACCCTACACAGTAAAGTCGAAACTGTTCTTGTTGTTTGTTGATGTTGGTCAATACACGCAGGTTACCTTGGGATGGCAGACGGCAGGGAAAGGAGCTGGAGCATCAGTCAAGGCCGTCCCTGCACTAACACCACTAGATCCCGCGATAGTCTGTACTTGCGGACACATGTGGATCTCTTTAGTAGCTTTGATTGGCCAATTATGGAGCCGTTTTTCGACCATTCCGGGATAAGCGCCCGTTCCGAGATGTCCGTGCTTCTTGTCCAATGATTGAGCTTGCGCAGGCCCCACCAAATACTCCTTCCCGTGTTGCTCTCCTCTGGCTGGGTCGCACCTGCAGTGTGATGCAAGTACCTCTGTACCTCTCTCTTCACTGCGAGCCTGCGACAATCCGTCCTCCTCAGCCGCTCTTCCCAAAGACGACGCTGGAAGGCTACATTGCCAGACAAATTATTGCTCTCTTCTCCCTTCTCTTTGAGCGTTGTTCTGCAGCCTTCCTTCGGCCCCTGCGCCCCCTTCCTTACCCGCGTCCTCCCTTCCTCACCGCTCCGTTTACCCCGCTGAGCCGTTGCGCCTAGAACGCACGAAACATCTCAAACTCATCTTCTTCTACTCGAGCACTCCGACATGGCACGATCGTGCTGCTACTCAGTGTTGCGATAAGTAGCAACATGATACAATAGTCTGCCAGGCCTCATTCAAGCTTTCCACTCGCTACTCTCCTCGGCAGGCATGCCCTCGGAGCTTCGGCATGAACTCTGATTCTGACCTCCCTCTGCGCTCAAAGCTCCTTAACACGACCATGGCGCCGCACACAAAGTCCGCTCCATTGGCGCCGAGGACCCCGAAGAAGCCCATTCAAAGCGATCGAGTCAAAGAAGTGGTGGACAAGCTTAATCGCGAATACAATCTCGCCGTCGAGATACCCGATGTGACACTTACACCGGCTTCGACGCGGCAACGCGCCCGACAAGATGCAGCCTTTGCAAGGAGTGAGAAGATAATTCGCGGCATCCGATTCCATAGCTTCCAAACCACTCTGTTGGACAGAATTCTTCGGTCCTTTCATATGGAAGCCAGAGCGGCTAGTCAGAACTGGATCCGGCCGTTCGATGATGACGAACCCGTCCCGGAGTCTGGAGGGGCGCCCAAGGCCGAAACTTCAGGCCAAGTATTGGAGTTGCAGGAGGTATTGATCAGCGTCTTGGATATGGCTCATCCTCGAGCGAAGGCGAGCGCCTTAACTTATGCTCAAACCGGAGCGGCAGCCTTCGCCTCACCCGACCCATGCAAGTCAAAGAGAAGATCCGAAACGGACACCACAGTCGAGTCACCTAAAAGAGTCAAGGCAAGCCTTCATCACGGAGACGGAACGGAGAGGGAAGGTGCAGTACTCAATGCATTGGACAAAGTCCCAAGCCGCTCTCGATCAGCGAAGCCCGTGGCCATGCCCGCACAGTTCACCAGGGATGCTTCGAGGCCGCACAAATCTTTTGGGGTTCCCCCTTCCGTGCGCGGAAATATTTACGGGAGCGTTTCTGTTACGACATCTGCGAGCACCAGTCGAACGTCGCTGTTTTCGAGGGCAGATGAGCAACTGCCGGGCACGCAAGAGACAATCCCAGCTCCGATCGAGGAAGAGGAGATGCGAAGGCCATTGCTAGATCAAGAAACAAATTCGTCGCAGTCGCAGGACCTGTTCCCGGCATCTTCTGGCCATCTTGATGCTCTCAATATCTCATTCACAGAACATGAAGTAGACACGTCAACGAAGAACTCCAGGAGACCAGCTGATCTCGCACCCGAACCATTCGGCAGTACCTCTAACTGGGCAGCCGTCAACTCAGGGGTCTCGGGTCTTCGGGATCCATCCCTGTGCCAACCTCTGTTCACTCCCCTCAAACGATCTGAGCCGGTTGATCTCCGGTCCCGCCTTGACGCTTCCTGGCGTAAGTCTTTCCACTAGACGTTGGGACCGTCGCCTTCACCGCTAATCTGGCTTCGCCTCGACCGCATGCTAACCGTCATTCAGCGAGATTCCCCAGTTGGCTCAACCGTGCGCCATTCGCCGTCGCATGGGAAATTACGCGCATTGCAGTTCATTGCGGCATCGATTTGGGAGAAGTGGTGATGGATTACGACGAAACGTGGATCAACTACAACCAAATCTGGAAGGCTCTCTTGGCCCATCCTCTTTTCGCTGGCAAATCATTTCCGGAGCGACCCAGCACAGATGCATGGGCTGCAGCTATGTCTGGCTTCAATACTATCAGAGGACAGCATGTAGTCTTTTCTGCTCGTTTCGTTCAAGTCCCTCGAGCGAAGAAGGGTCCCATCTTCTCCCTGTCAATGCAACCCATCGCCTTGGATCAAGGGTGCCGTCTGCATCGCAAATTCGGCTCTGATCGTTTTCTCGAAATCTTGATCCCATCTCCAAAAGGGTGGCAGGAACCTATTAACAATCCCAAAGTATCTGAGGAGGTTATCCGTTGGTTCTCTTCAGAGCGGCACTACCTCGCTGGCAGACAATGGCGGGCATATTTCTCCAAAGACGCGGGACACAAGACGCCACAAAAACACCTGAACTTGGGCCCGGAGCCCAAGCCTGTTTACCAAGACAGGCTCTATCTCTTTGCCGAGAATGGGAACAACTTCCACGAAGCCCTCCCTCATGAGAATCCTAGGGACCTGAGGGACCATAAGCTACAGACTTGGCAGATGCTTGACTGGCTTCTGCAATTTAATGACAATAAGACACAGCCATTTCTGAAGTTGTTCTCCCGTATACAGCTTGGTAGGAGGCACACCCAAATCCGCAGCCTGTAACTCCTATTGATTTCCTTTATAGGATTGAGCAAAACGACGCCAGTGATCGTTCTTGACCCCAAGCAGATCATACACCGTGAAAAAGATTTGCGTTCACAGACCAGCGGCAAGGTCATGAACGATGGAATCGGCCTCATGTCCCGCTCGCTCGCTCGAAAAGTCAGAGATGTACTCGGCCTCAGTGATATCCCGTCTGCTATTCAGGGTCGCCTTGGTTCTGCCAAGGGCATGTGGGAAATCGATGTTTCGGACAATGACGACGGCCTCGACGGCCTCTGGATAGACACGTGGCCATCTCAACGGAAGTGGGAATGTGATTTTAGCCTCGACGAGTATCGCACACTCGAAATCAGTGCCCATTCGATGGAGCCCCGGTCTGCAAGCCTCAACATCCAGTTCCTCCCAGTCCTTGAGGATCGGGCCATAGATAAGGCAGCCATGCGAGAGAGTATTGGAAATATATTCGTCGAAGAACTCAACCGTGAGCTGGAGGGGCAGAAAAACGCAATGAAGCATCCCTTGGAATTCCGCAAATGGAATGCCGAGAACTCTTCTACAAGAAAGCAGCGGCTGACCCATGGTCGGGTGCCTTTCCTGGCTGGTCTTCCGGTCGAACGCGAAGAGACCATGAATTTTCTCCTGGATGGCGGATTCGAGCCACAAAAGCAAAAGTTTCTTCAAGACATCGCCTGGAACCTTAGGCGTTCTCTCTGCGAAAGTCTGAAGAAGAAAATGAGCATCAAGATACCCAACTCTACCTACGTCTTCATGGTAGTGGACCATTTTAATCAACTTGAAGAGGGCGAAGTGCACTTATCCTTTTCGTCAAAATTTCAGACAGAGACCTTTTCGGGCTCCATGCTCCATGGTTGCGACGTTCTCGTGGCTCGCTCTCCGGCGCATTACGTGAGCGATATGCAAAGGGTCAAGGCCGTGTTCAAACCGGAGCTACACCCTGAAAAAAATATCATTGTTTTCTCGGCCAAAGGAGACGTCCCTCTTGCAGATAAGCTTTCCGGTGGTGATTATGATGGAGACAAGGCATGGGTATGCTGGGAACCAGCGATTGTTTCGAATTTTAAAAACGCAGAGGTGCCGCCCAGTCCAAACCTATCCAGCTACTTGAGGATAGACAAGACGACATTCGGAGACCTCGTACAACAGCAAGACAAAGGGCAGGACAAAGGGCAAGACAAAGAGAAAGACAAAGAGGAAGAAAAAAGGCTTGCGATATCGGACATGATCACCCGCAGTATTGCCTTCAGCATGAAGCCAAGCTACTTGGGTATTGCAACCAACTACAAGGAGAGGCTTTGCTACCACATCAACAGTGTGAACAATGAATATGCCTGCCGGTTAAGCGCCCTTCTGGGCAACCTTGTTGATCAGGCCAAGCAGGGCTTTGAGTTCACGGCAGATGACTGGAATAGGTTCTGCCGAGTGGAGCTTGACAGCCACAAGTATAACGGAAAACTTGAAGAGCCGGCCTACAAGTCCGAGAACTGGTCAGTCAAGGGAAAGCCGGTCCATATTATTGACCACCTAAAATTCTTGGTGGCGAAGCCAGCCATTGACCGAGAACTCGAAAAGTTTCACAACGCAATGAACACGACGTCGGGTAGATCTGGGCATGGCCTACGACCTCTTCGTTTGAAGAATGATGGCGAAGAGGAGCTTACAGCGGAACTGTGGGACCCTGATCTTGCTAAACCTTATGAAGCGTTTGAAAAACTTGCGGCAACGAACCCTTCTTTGAAAAAGGTTCTGCGGAATTTGAAGAACGACTTGGAAGATGCTGGAAAGCGTTGGGACAAAGGGGTCGCACCCATTAAAGACAAGGACGACATGAACCGCGGCATACTCGAAGTCTATGAGCTGTGGCGAACGATCCAACCCCGACCAAATGCTGCACTCGAGCCAATGGCTGAAGCTCTGTTGAGGCAGACATACGCAGGCGAGGATCACACAAATTGGGCTTTACTGCGTGCCAGCACAACCTTCAAGATTTTCTACAGACGCAAGTCGAACTTCGCTTGGCGGATGGCGGGCATTCAGCTGCAATTCATCAAGGCAATGACTACGGCAGGGCCTGGCAGCGTTCTTGTCCCTGTGGCCCCGAGTATGTATGCTGCGATGAAGCCAGACGCCAAATTCATCACCCAGGCCGTCTCTAAACTCAAGGATGAGGGATCCGAGTATCCTGGCCTCGACTCTGACGGCGAGAACCACTGGCAGGGATCTGAGGGCGAAGAGTGACGACCTCCATGTACACCTTTCACGTCTTTTCACAGGAGTAACACAAGGTCCTGTGGCCTAGGTGCGCATTTATCCGACTACTGTAATGCTTCTGCCCAAGGTTTGACTTGGGCTTGGAAAGGAATTAGAGCTTGGAACAAAATCCGGAGCTATCATGACGAGGGAACGAAAGAGGTGCGATTTGGAATTTGCTTGGAAGCGATTCTGCGGATACCCTTTGTATGCAGGTTGTTGGAATTTTCGATACACTGCGGCGGCGTCTTTAAAGCACAGCGAGAAAAAGACATGTATAGCCGGCCTTTTTTCCTGCTCTGCTGTGATGAGTCCCTCCCCACACTGAACCTTTACGTCCAAATGTGTTTCCCGCGATCAAACCCCCCTTCCCCTTCCCCTTAGGCAACCATTGTGGGAAAGTCTAGAGACGCCGTACAACCGAACAACTTTAATAAATGGATCTCATATAGATACCTGCGTAGGATGATCTTTTCGAAGCTTTCATTGCCCTTGTGTATATATCTGCCGCACCGAGCTTTTCTTCTTCTTGAAAAAGCTTGAAGAGAACGCATTCCTATTAAAGAGTTTTGCTCATGCTCCTCGCCGCCTCCACATATCGACTTCATAACAGAATATCCAACAAGAGACAACTAAAAACACGGAGAATCCGAGAATACAGGCATAATATTACAGCAAAGAAAATGGCGTCGTCAACACGTAGCAATCAACCAACTGCGGTCCAAGACCGCGATGCCCTTCTGGAGTCCTCTGGAGCGAGATCTTTCGTCACCGAGGCATATAGTCCGCAGAGGACCCGACACGTCCGCAAGGGCGCGCGCGACGACTCGGACGAGAAGTCTTGCACGGCGGAGGTCCTTGCAGCGCGGTCCGGGGAGAAGATCCAATCCACAGAGAGGGCCGGAGAGTCGTCGCGTAGGTCTCGGAAGAGAGATTCGACGGAGCGGGAGGCCGAGGGTAGGACGGGCCCCGAGCCTCCTAAGCGGCGTGAGCCGTGTAAATTGCTCATGACAACTTTAGACATGGAGGGACAACCTCTCACGATAGGGAAGCGGGTCGCATCCTGGCGTAGCTTTCAATCTGCTGCCTATCCCTCAAACGACGTCTTGAGGAAAGAGGAAATCAGCTCAGTCCACGAGGTCGGTCGTGTTCCCCTGGCTACGGCCAGCAGTAACGACAGCAATGCCACCCACTCCTCCGACATAGCTCTCCAAGGACCTCGAGGTAGAGATGCGACGCCCAGGCCTCGGGACACCGAAACGCAAGTCCCGTTGCCGATGCCGATGCCGTCGTTGGGTTCCGGCCCAGCATTCCGGCGTCCGACCGAGCTGAGGCTGCACTTCATCGCAGAATCAAAGAAGCTAGATGCGCGAGACGAGGTGATGAGAAGAAAAGAGGAAGAATCAAGGAAGAGGGCAGAACAGCTGCAGTGGCAGCGAGAGCAGGAGGAGGAGGACGAGGCCAAGCAGGAGAAGCTATCCGGTGGCACTAGCTCCTCCTACGGCGTTGAGCAGGCTTATCGCGAACTGCTCGAGGGGATCAAGGACTGGAAGCTTTCGACGACCAAGGGGTACCAGACGATCAAGGAGGGGCTGGATCGAATCACGACTTCTGCCACCCAGGCGGAGCAGGAGCCGGTTGAGTTGGATTCCGTCGCGACGGAGATTCGTCCCGCCGCTGAGGGCAAGTCGGAAGGGTCGTTGGTTCTGGGGGGCGAGACCTTACTCGACTCCGAGATCACGGACTTCACTTTGGGTCCTCCTCTCTCTCCTCTGGTAGAGACTGCTTGGACATCTAGTAAGGCGGTACCTCCTCCTCCTCCTCCTCCGGCCGACCCGGATTTCCAGCGCACGCGAGCCCACCCCGACGCGAGTCGAAAGAGGAAGGTGGTATATAGGCTCGTGAAGGAGGCCGATGCCCAGGTCTTTGATGTCGTGAGCCATGAGGATGCGAAGGACCCCGCCGACGGGTTCACGTTTAAGGAGGTTGAGAGCTGCGGGGGCTTGTGCCGGGATGAGGAGGAGTGCAAGAAGATGTGCATCTGTCAAGTTTCTCGCCAGGAGGCGCCGGAGGCTGGGCGTGGTATTTCGAGAGCATTGCCTTTGGAGTTTTACGAAGATGATTTTGTGCTTGTTTGAGGGATTGGGGGGAGTGGACTCACTGGGACGACTTGGTGTCTATCCCACAGCTAGGAATTGCGAGGGAGTTTAGTTGCTCAGGGTCTAGTTTATGAGATCATGAGTTTACAAGGCAGTTTCTAGTTTCAATGTTCTAATTGACCCAAATCTTATTAGTAAGTGATTTCCCTAGAGACATGCGTTGAGTGAGTTGGGGGTCCGTCGGAGTCAATCTACCAATTCAGGTACTTGCGTACAATAGTATGACGCACTACATACTGAGAGCCTGGAGTCTGGATCATGCTATTTGCCATGGAAAGTGTTATTGTATTGTTTTTCGAGGATTTATGAGTTTTCTATGTGTTTTTGCTATCAAAAATTGTGATGTTGATGTTGATGCGCTCTGCATCACAGACTCTTCAAGAGTCATTGGCCATGGCAAGGCATCTGAATTGTAAAAGATTGCCCCTGAATGGCATAGAACCCAACGCCGTGCCCTGAATTTGCGGGGGGAAAAAGAGAATCAATCACTCTGCACTCTGCACTCTGCAGGCAATTAGATGGAATCAGGTCGACTTGGCCGGGTCCTGGAAGAAGATGACCTGCACCGTGACGTCGTCCCTGACGTTCCTCGCCAGCGGCGGGTACGCGAGCGTGACGCCAGTGAAGAGGGACCTGCGCGTGCCGCCCAGCGCGTTCTTGATCAGATGCACGGCCGCGTTGTCGAGGTCTTCGACGATGAAATGCTCCGGTTTCGCGGACCAGTTTGGCCAGCCCGCGGACATGTCAAACTCGCTCTTGACGCCCGGCGTCGCGGCGAGCTTGTCGGCCGGGGTCTTGGTCTTTTCGCCGGCCTTCTTGGCCGAGATCCAGCGGGACACGCACTCGACGGCGTTCTCGGACGAGATGTGGTCCCACAGGCCGTCGGAGGCGAGGATGACAAAGTCGGGGCCCTTGATCTCGGTGACTGTGGTCACGACGGGCGCGGCGGTCATGTAGGGCGGTGTGAGATATTTGGGCCGCGGGCCCGTGCCGAAGAAGTCGTTTTGGGCTTGTTTGATGGCGTCCTTGGTCCACTTCCAGCGGTGGTCGCCAAAGGCGCGGGTCACGGCGATGCCAAAGAGGCGGCCGCTCTTGGTGTCGATCATGTCCGCCTCCTCGCCCGGGTGCTCCTTGGCGATGCGGTCGAACTCGTCCTTGTTGTGGCCCGTCTGGTCCTTGGAGAGGGCGCGGGTCGAGTAGGAGGTCGCGCCGGGGGCGAGGGAGCCCAGGACGGCGCGGGAGTCGCCGGTGCAGGCGACGCGGAGGGTCGAGGTGGCTGGGTCGAAGATGGAGAGGAGGGCGCAGGAGCCGGCGATGGCGGGGGCGAGGGCGGCGATGACGCCAGAGTCGGCGGGCTCGACGGCGCCGGCTTTGAGGCCGGCTATGGCCTTTTGGGCGTTGGACGCGATGAGGTCGTCTAGGTTGGTGAAGGCTTTGACTATGGCTGTTTCGATTGACGCGTCTTCCACGCCGCGGTTGAGCTGGGCGATGGAGGATGATACGGCGGGGATGAGGGCGCTTTTGAGCAGCAGCGAGGTTGCCCATCCGCTGTATTGGCTGGCATCAGTAACGTGAAAGAGATGCGAACGTAATGGAACTCACGCGTGGCCATCGTAGACACCGTTGAACAAGGTCTCTGAGCTTCCGACGCCCGGGGCGAGGGAGAATGCCATGACATCCTCGACGGGGTGGTTACTCGCGACTCTCGCGGCATGCACATGGGTATTCTTGCCCTCAGCAGTGAAGGATCCCACAAAGACATCCTCGCGAAGCTTCGCGTCCGCAGTTGCAAAACTGCCCCCATCAACCGGCGTCTTGGCCAGGGCATCGAGGTCAACGGGACCGGATCCCAGGCTGGGAATGGTGCCAGGCTTCAAGCTTGAAGCGGTGCTGGGTGTCTTGCGATCGCGCACCGCGTCCGCGATGAACCAGCCGGCGGCAACGCTGGCCGCCCAGATACCGTACGTGGGCAGGCGGGATGAGCGTGATGGGCCGGCGCTTGAGTACGGACGCGTCCAGCGCGGAGCCGAGGCGCGGGCGGTGCGCGCGGAGACGTGGAACTGGAGGGCAGTCCCCGCATTGGGGCGACATGCACGCTGCAGCATCATGGCCGGCTTCGGACGCAGGTGAGCTTGGGGGTGTGTGGGCGATTGGTTTGGCGATCACGCGTTCATCTGGCTGCGACCGTGCGGTTCCTCTTATAGCTGGATGGGGAAGAAGATGGTGAATCAGGAAGAAGGAGTAACTTCTAGTAATTTTGAAAGCCAAATTGGAGTGATAAAGAGTTTAAGAGTGAGAATAAGAATGAGAATGAGATTGAGAGATGAGAGAGACGGGTGAGTGAGACTTTGATGAGGTGAGACGGAGTAAGCTTCGGTGAATCGCCGTTACCCTGGCAGTTGGTCGCGTGCCGTGCCTGCTTGCTTCCACCCCTGGCTCTTTCCATTCTCGTCGTGCGCTCTCGTGTCATTTTTTCCCTCTTCGGCACGGACCGCACGGCACTGTCAGCAGCGTCCAACAAATTGCACCTTGGACTCAGCCTCAGCGAAATCCCAGGAACTCGGGAGGGGAAAAAACGGTGTGATGGGTCGAAGGATTCACGCGTCTTGCACAGCTTCTTCTTCCGTTTAGTTGGTCCCTCTGTGTGACTCACAAATGGGGTAAAACCGGATCATGGTTGGTTGGTGTAATGTCGGCTGTGAAACATCAGGCGAGCAATCTTCTGGGATCTTGATAATGGCGATGCGGCCAACCACCTAATTAATCTTACTCAGACTTGAGCCTCAAAAATTAGTTTCCGACGTTACTTCAGCCAACATTTCTTTCAGCTTTGGTTCGGAATTTAGCGAGTCATACCCACCAAATCTACAACCTACATTCTTATTTAGACTCGAATCACCCGGCCTCGTGTGTGGATGAGCCAACGGTTTCCAAGAGGCATCTTACCCTGCTATTCGCATTCGTCCATCTCAAGCGAGCCAGCTCATCCGACTAGATCATATCTTATTCATATCTTTCAACAACGTTGATCTTGGAAACAGTGCCCAGCATCTGCCGCATTTACTTCACTTCCAAGTCTATCCAAGATATATCATCATCTTTCCTGAGTAAGGTTACCATGCTTCTAGAATTCGAGCCTGCTTCAACTCCGGGTAAGTTGTTAGCCTAGGGCTAATCAAGTTCACCAGCTACAATAGGTAACTGGATGCTCTGCTAACTAACATTATTTTGCTCTGATAAGACTTACGACGTGAAAAATTGCCTCCATCTTTGTGGGAAATTTTGCAGTCGAGGATCTATAGCTCACTGCTCTGTCCGAGAAAGTGAGTCTGACAGATGAAAACAAGAAGGCCCAAGTGATTGAAAGGACTGCAATGTCTGGTTCATTGACGTAAAGGCCTTCTGTCATTAATCCATATTTCCACTTTAGTAAGTAGCTTCGTTTGAGTCTTGACCGCGCATACTTTCAGCGAAACCGTACATCTATAAACAGTTTAGAACTGCGTTGATGTAGGGGTTGACAGCTGCACGCGTTTGTGGTACACTAAGGTACCTAGTTCTACTAAATTCAAAGGTGAGACGGAATCCTCCAAAGGGCGCAGACTCTCACTGGCCAGTCATCGCCCGCCCCCACAATCCTCATGGCGCCATGGTGATTATTTTCAAGGTCAAGATGAGGGAGCACTATGTTGAGCAGATTATACCAAAAACGCAGAACCTTTAGAGCGCTATAATCATTGGTCTATGTAGATGAGTGTATGTGGGCTGTGTGGTTCCTTCAAATTTCTTAATTAATACACTGCTCGTTAAAGAGGCTGAGAAGCACTGCAACTGAAAATGTCTGCGTAATCCACTACTCTGCCAGTCCACACCTCCCTAGACGCCCGCCTTAGTAGTTTCGTCCCATGACAGCAGCGCCGACGTATAGCTGAAGCTTAAGCCTCTCCACCCCACAGGCTCTTGCAAAGATTGCCTGACCACAGCTATGGTAGAAGAAGTCGAGAGCTGAGGGGATCTGAATACTGACTTGACTATAATCGAGGCCACCGGCGGTAGTACCGGGCCATCTCTGGTCTTCGTGTGCACTGTCAAGGGCTATGGGTTGCACGCCGTCTGTTCCGACGTCTTTACTAAAGAGAAACTGTGCACGATGGCTGCGTTTGGTGCCTTTGTCGATATCGTCCACTGTCCTGCGGGCAAGATCACACCGGATCTATTTCCGTCCAAAGTGAGGAAGGCGAAGACGATTGTTGAAGAAGACGAAGGTATCACACAGGGAGGAATCAAGTGAGAGTCATACATAGTGTTTAGCAGCTTGATTCAGCTGAAAGGAGCTCCCGCCAGGGTGAGCCTATATATATGCCGTACGGAGCGAGGCCACGATGCCACGAAACGTGTCGTTCGGTGGCAATGGTCTCATAGCAGGATACTAGGCAGTGCCATTTGTTACGCTCCGACAAAAGGGTATATTGCTGCTGCTCAGGTCAATAATGAAAACTGCATGGAGGGCTACAAGACTCTTGGGGACGAACTCGTCCAGCAGTCTCCGCAAGGTATCGATGCCTTCTGCGGTGCCATTGGCGGAGCTGGAATAGTCATGAGAGTTGCGAAGGTGCTTAAGGGTGCGCGCGCTGGTACCAAGATTGTCACACTCGAGCCTGCATCACCGCCTGTTGTCGCTGATGGACATGGCGTGGTCCACGGGATTGAGGGTATCAGTCCTGTCCTGGGCTTGTCCCGCCTTTGCTTGACAAAAGTTTATATAACGAAGCGCGCACATATACAGAAGGCAAGACGCGCGCCGTATATCGTAGATTCGCAAATGAGGAAGGGCTTCCAACGAGAACTTCAACAGGACTTGATATTGTTAGAGCTCTGGCATTAACTAAGTAATTTACGCTTGGCAAGATGGTCATTACGGTGGCTTAAAAAACAGGTCTGATACACGAGTAGCAATATATATCACTAATCTTACAATAGAGTCGAACGATGCAACTCGTTCACGTTGTAAAGTCAAATCGAGTACAAATGGACTCCTTGGTCTGGTGGTTCAAGCTTGGAGCATTTGGCAATTGTTTGGCAGGCGTTACAAGCCAAAAATATTCTCCAAATTCCTTGATAGCACAGCTCAAGAAATATTGTTGAAATTGAAACTTCACCTGTTGTTGGGATTACAAGTCCTCAATCTTTCATGATATTCCCCACGCGAACGTCATGGGTTGACTCGCTACCTCTCAGCTTTCCAGGTGATCGACAATCAATCCATGCTCGAGAAGCGCAGAAGCGTGCTATGCTGCTCAGACGGCTATTGGAGTTGCTTCGAGCCGGGAATGCAGTCCCGGTTAAGGCATAGCAAGAATTTCCGCGTTCGAGATCCAAGGCAGGATGAAACCTTTACTTTAAATGCAACCACTGCTCACTTCCCATGACCACCTGTAGCCCCAGGACTGTCAGAAGACACACCTCAATGGTCACTCGCCGATGAGCAGATTTCTAAGATTGGCACGAAACCCCGCCTTTAGCGTGCGTTAGCTTGATCCCTGGAGGCCAATAATGCCCGCAGTATTTCAATGGGTCTTGGTTCGTCACCGGTACCTTGTTCTCACATTCCTCTTGGAGCTGATGATTGTTCAGCAGCCACCTCGCAAAAGCTGAATCGATACCAATTCATGGCCATTGGAGGATGACCTTACGCCTTAGATCCATTCACAATAGTCCGGGCTTGTTCAGGTGTCGCAAGGTCATTATCAGGAGCGCCTAGCATTTGCCAACGGGGGAGCACGGGAATATACTCGCGCGATCCGCGGAGAGTTTTGTTGGGGGGCGCTGAGAAGTAGACTGAGGGTCAACGCTTCGCGCGTAAAACCCCACTTGCTGTAGCTACACCCCGCGGGGGATAACGCACCCTATCGTGTCGTTTCTTTTCGAGATGACCTCTTCCCTGTCCACCCCCTCCCTCCTAGTGCCTCTTCTCAACCTCTCTCTCACCGAGGCTTTCCACCAATCCAAGAATCCTGGGGTCAGATCCGGTTAGCCGAGGGCCTCTGGAAGCTTTGCCAGTGCCTGCCAAACTGGGCTTTGGCCTTGTTGACTCACATATGCGCACATAGGCGTGTCTCTTCGCCGGTCATGGCTTATGGCGCCGCTGAAGTAGCTTCGAGCCGGACCGTGTTGGCCAGGGGGGGAGATGTTGATCGACCGATTCCCGAGGTGGTGAGGCACCCTGAAGCTTCAAAACCCCTCACCCCTCATTCTTTCTTGTGTTCAAGCTGTCTGATAGCTTACCTTGCCGTCCATCTGGAGTCATACCCCTTCCCGTGCCTCGTTCATCCTAGAATTGACGATTACCTGCCTCCCTTGGGGACCCTGACCTTACATTGGGGCGTTCAGAAAGTCAATTGGTGATTTCAGCCCGAACCTCGAGACCGAACTCCCCTGCCGAGCGCCAAAAAAGCCGCCTTCATCATCAAGGTGTCCGGATCAGACAGCTGGGTGAGCGAGTATGAAGGCCACCACAATGGCTGTTGCCAGGACCGCTGCCCTTCGAGGCCTTGGACGGACTACCTTCGAGCGGTCATCTTTCTCTTCGCAATTCACACAAAAGCAATTCCCCGTCGTATCACGGGCATGTATGTCCTCCGTCGCAGAAGCCGTGGGCGTGGCACCGGCACCCCCTCCACCGACGCCGGTCAACGATGCCGAACTGAAGGCCGCGCAGCGCGCCATCGAAGCCAAGAAAATCATGCAAAAGGCGGCCAGCGCAACCACTGTCAGACATGACTGGACAAGAGAGGAGATCTCTGCCATCTACTACCAGCCCCTGATGGAGCTGACTTTCCAAGCCGTGAGTTTCCCCAAACTCCCGCCATAACGTCAAATGTGACTAACCAAGCATCACTGAACCAGGGCTCCATCCACCGCCGCTTCCACAACCCCTCCGAGGTCCAGCTCTGCACGCTCATGAACATCAAGACCGGCGGATGCACCGAAGACTGTTCCTACTGCGCCCAGTCGACCCGATACCAAGACGGCACCGGCCTCAAGGCCAAAAAGGTCGAGAGCGTCGAGTCCGTCCTCGCGGCGGCGCGCACCGCAAAGGAGAACGGAAGCACGCGCTTCTGCATGGGCGCCGCGTGGCGCGACATGCGCGGCCGCAAGAACAGCCTCAAGAACATCAAGGCCATGGTCACGGGCGTGCGGGAGATGGGCATGGAGGTCTGCGTCACGCTGGGCATGATCGACTCGGAGCAGGCCAAGGAGCTCAAGGAGGCGGGGCTGACGGCCTATAACCACAACGTCGACACCAGCCGCGAGTTCTACCCGTCCGTCATCTCGACCCGCAGCTACGACGAGCGCCTCAAGACGCTGAGCCACGTCCGCGACGCCGGCATCAACGTCTGCTCTGGCGGCATTCTTGGGCTCGGCGAGTCGTCGGACGACCGCGTCGGCCTGCTGCACACCGTCTCCACGCTCCCTTCCCACCCCGAGAGCTTCCCGGTCAACGCGCTGGTGCCGATCAAGGGCACGCCGCTGGGCGATCGCACGCCTATCCAGTTTTCGAGCATGCTGCGGACCATCGCGACCGCCCGCCTCCTTATGCCGGCCACCATTATCCGTATCGCCGCCGGGAGGAAGACCATGTCGGAGGAAAAGCAGGCCATGTGCTTCATGGCTGGGGCCAACGCCATTTTCACGGGAGAGAAGATGTTGACGACGGACTGCAACAGCTGGGACGAGGATAATGCCATGTTTGGCCGCTGGGGTTTGCAGCCCATGAAGAGCTACAACAAGTCGGCGGCTCCCATGGCGGAGATTGAGATCTGAGATCGAAAGAAGAAAGTAAATATGACAACACAACACTTACAACTCAGCGGAACATGAAACGGAAATCTTCTTGCGTTCTCATAGGGAAAAAGCCCCATCAGAGTGAGGTGGGTTGGTTTGGTGCTACTTTATGACTCGCTATGCCGGAGAAGATGCGGAAAACAACCAGGCTGCCCGAGTTAGACACCACAGAGAACGCGATGCAGAAGACTAGAAATCGGAAACTGCTATTGTAAAAGATGTATCGACCGTACATCTCTGGCAGTGGTGCAATGGCTGACGGGCCACAGCATTAGCTGATCAGAAACTCTGATATCATAAACGCGCTGACGTAGGTGTCTGTGACGTCGAAGTCTGATTTGATGGAACAAATACCGGGTACTGCGATTGATGATGCCGGAGGACTGTCAGCACATCAGCTAGCTGAGAGACACGTAGTATTAATCTTGTTGGGCGCTGTAACGACCTGAGAATCGATGCACAGCCAAGCGCTACGATGAAAATTGCCTTTATCCTCGTTGACCAGTTCTTCGGAATTTCTTGAACGTCTAGCCCAGCCCAGTCGACCACGTTGGGATTCGCCATTGCTGTCTCGCTCGCTATCGACCGTGGCATCACTGCGATCCATGCTGACCTCCTGTCCGGGCTGAGCCGTCTGTTCGCCCATGGTTGCTTGGGAAGACTACCGCCCACCAGACTTACGAATGGATGCGGAAACCGAATATCCACCATACCTAGAATTGGGATACGATCAGACTTCTCCTTGCTGGCTGGGCATTGCTTGTCGCCGTGCGACCAAAGGCGTTCCCGGCTGGCCCATGGATACTCATTATTAATAGGCCGAAGCAACTCTCGGTGTCTCGGACCTTTTGTAGATTTCTGGAGATATGCCGTGTGATTGCGAAGATTTCGGTATGATGATGTCCTTTTGCCGATTCGCGAGCCCCATTGATGAGCCATCGCTCCCCATCCCTCAAGATTGTTCGCCCTTTGAATGAGGGGATAGTTCAAAGCCGCATTTCCCATTGAAGAGGTTCCAATAGGGCTGAGCATATTGAAAAAATGAGCGACTAGGTTTCCGGGCCGTCGCCGCTGTGGATATTGGTTAAATGTCATACCTACATGAAGTATAAAATGACTGCCGTAAAAATGACTAGGGAAGGCTGGATGCTCTCGACCTCAAACATTTCAGTGTCTATTGTCCGGAACTTGCTCATATAGTCGTCAATTGTCACCATGTCGTTTAAGCTTGACGAGGTTCCTCCTCACTCTCTGTTGGAGCTGAGTGACCCTTCGTCAGTGAAGCTTAAGAAGCTGCTTAATCGAAACCACAATGAACACGCACTTCTCCGTGACCCTCGACTTATCTTGCACAATCATGTGCCACATGCGAGAATTGTCATTGTTACTAATGGGTATTTTGAGTGAGATGGGGGTAAAGTCTCAATGCATCAGGCTCTTGGATCTCCCTACCTTCTCGGTGCGACAGACTCGCAACTACAGCACATTTTCGACGTCGAAGCGCCCCAAGTAGTCGGGGTCAAAGACAACCGGCTTCCCCATGAGGAGATCGCCCCATCTAAATGGAGGAAGCTCCTCGGGAAAATGGCCATATACTGCAGCCTATTCGGCCTTCTTCGACGACAAAGTTGCGAAGTGTAGGGACGACTGGATGAAGGTGGTCGACGACCATATCTTTGCCAGATCCCAACCGATCATTGATGGGTTCTCTGGAGGACGTAAGTCTCCCATTGATCGAGTTATCTCTTAAGATGCCTCGTGATATGTCAGTCTCTGACTAAGTTCTTGACCATCTCAGTCGGCTACCCTTTCATCCATCTCCCCTACGCCCTCGAAGTTGACGACAAGCAAGTCGCCACGGAAGCCTTGAGCATGGGCTGCACCGAGTACGATCCTACTCACGAGATTCCGGATCTCCCTCCACCGGACAACGAGCTGCTCACGCGTTTGTAACCAAGTTCCATGGATGGGGAGGATATGGTGCCGGTGTTGAGGTAGTGTTTCCATCTCATGGTGTTGTTCAGCTGCTCAGTCACACGGCTCAGCGCCCTTGAATCAACAGTTGTATGCGCTGCAAACTTGCTGTAAGTGGTGTGGTAGTAATGAGACTGAAAGAACAATGTGAGAGGAGCGTGTGAGAGATGGATGAGGTAAGATGGGTAGCGCTAGCTCGAATTAATGTGAGGAGGGGCGCCCGTTGGAGTCTAATTTCAGTGTCAGCAGGGCCGAAGCAGCACCTTACCTCTTACCATTGCATTGCACTGCCCTTCTAACGTAGCGCGAAACGAACACATACCAAGGTACTGTCAAAAGTGTACGTACTCAGCTTGAGGGAGCGTCTCTTCTACGGACGTCAAGCGCGCAGGTAAGTGCCGTCATCTGACGCTCGCGCTGCCCGTTGGCCAATTCGTTTCCACGCGCCTCTTCTCTTGGCTGCTCGTCTACGTCACGTCCAGTTGCAATCACTAATCCGTCCTCTCCATATATCCTGCATCTACTCAGCTTCGTCGATAACCCCTCCGAGCTCCTAGTGACACCTTAAATGAGTTCCATCAGCTCTCTCGAGCGGTGGCTCGCGCGCTTCCCGGGTCGCTTTCGTCGGTATCTACCACCCCTAAATTTCATCACCATTCATTATGCCTACTTCATCCTGGTATGTCTCATCACGTCCGTCATCTTTTGGGGCTCGTCCGATCCTGCCTTCTCCGTCAGCTACACTGATAGCCTCTTTCTCGTCGTGTCTGCCATGACCGAGGCAGGTCTCAACACCGTCAACCTCAGCCAGCTGACGACGTGGCAACAAACACTCCTGTTTATCCTGTTGCTGCTGGGAAGCACCATCTGGGTCTCCATCTGGACCGTCTTGGCCCGCAAACACGTCTTTGAGAAACGCTTCGACGAGATTGTCCGAGCAGAGCGTACGCGTAAACTTAGTCGACAGGGTAGTGCCATATCGCTGGCTTTGCCTCGCTTCTCTCTTGACTTGCCTCGACTGCAGCTGGCGCTCTCCTTTGGCAAAGCCCAGGCAGCCCATACTCCTCCTCCTCCTCCAGACCAGATCTTCAAAGCAACAAGGGCTCGTGACTCGGAGAAAGGCGTCTCTCAGCCGGATGAGGAGCAATCGGATGCTGCCGAAGCTGCAAACAAATGTCGGCGAACTGCATCCCGGGATGCACCCGAAGACGCCCAAGAGGTCGATGATTCGCAGACGCCAGGACACATTACATTTGACGACGCACCACACCCCAATGCTGTCGACAGCCAAGCCACGTCGACGGGCGTCTCCCTCCCCGGCAACTCGAATGGAACAGCGCGTCCATTGAAAAGGCCCGGCGATGCACCAGTGGATTCAACCGATGCCGACGCAGACGCTCGAAACTTCTTGAAACACCGTTCAGCTAGTCGCTACGGCCAGTTCCACGACCTGAGCAGTGACGAGCGCGATCACCTCGGCGGCTGCGAGTACCGCGCCCTCAAGGTCCTGGCCATGTTGGTACCAGCCTATTTCTTCTTGTGGCAGGTTCTGGCATGCCTTGCCCTCGGAGCCTGGATGAACAACTACATGCCCGATACTGCGAGGGCCAATGGTATCAATCCGTGGTGGCTTGGTATCTTCAACGGTGTCTCTGCATTCAACAACTCGGGAATGTCGCTGCTGGACGCCAATATGATTCCCTTTCAAGAAGCGCCATACGTTCTCATAACCATGGGCCTCTTGATATTAGCTGGAAATACGGCATATCCCCTTTTCCTACGTCTCATCATCTGGTCCTCGCTCCGACTACTGAAGTTAACAACTACAGAAGAGGCCCTTTTCGACTTGAAAGCGACCTTAGAGTTCATCCTAAAATACCCGCGCCGTGTCTACACCAACCTCTTTCCTTCCCGGCCGTCTTGGTGGCTATTCTTCATGCTAGTTTGGCTTAACTCTGTGGACTGGGTTGCCTTTGAGCTTCTCAACATTGGAAATACGGTCACTGAAAAGATACCCACGGGTTCCCGTGTGCTCGATGGCCTATTCCAGGCACTTGGTAAGTTCTGCACCTGTCGATGTTTGCAGGAGTTTGGGTGTTCAGCAGAAATGCTGACTGACACACTTACAAGCTGTGCGGTCTGGAGGCTTCTATGTCGTTCCCATATCGGGTCTTTTCATCGGCCTCCAGCTTCTCTACGTCGTCATGATGTATATCTCGGTATATCCCGTTGTTATCACAATGCGCCACTCCAACATTTATGAGGAACGATCGCTCGGCATTTACAGCGACGACATTTCCACCGCGTCCGATGCAGACCCCGAGGTGGCCACACCTCTGCTTCCTATGGGTAGTCGTCCTCCCACCCTGGCTCGCACCACTAGCATTGGCGCAGCTTCTGCACGGCCTTCCGTCCTAGCACGTCGCCTTAGCCGTTCCGGTCCAGTCACCGACGCCCGCCGAGCACTCAAGAGCACCTTCATGAGCTTTCACGGCGTTGGCGTTACGCCGCCGACAGGTTCGGGACTCGGCCAGAACGGCGCCGACCAGGGAACCAGGCAGGAAAGCCGCATCAGCTTCATCAGCCACCAAGTCCGCGGGCAGCTGGCCCATGACCTCTGGTGGCTAGTCCTGGCTGTGCTGGTGATTACCATCATCGAGACATCAAAATTCATCCAGGACCCTGTGACCTTTTCGGTCTTCAACATCATATTTGAGGTCGTCTCAGCATACGGCACGGTCGGGATATCGGTAGGTTTACCAACTGATGCCTATAGCTTTTGTGGCGCCTGGCATGTTGGTAGCAAGCTTGTGCTGTGCCTGGTTATGCTACGCGGTAGACATCGAGGGTTACCTGTCGCGCTGGACCATGCGGTGCGGCTTCCAGGACGACAGCTGCACAAATATGAGGAGGAGGATCATCAGATACGGAGGAGCAGGACGATCGAGCTGGAAAGATAGAATTAGATGGTTGGCACTTGAAGTCACGAATCTCTTTAATATTAAAAGAATTCTTCAATTGTCTTGATGCTGAGATTGATGCTGTCCACGCGTGAAAGTGGTCTGAATGAAATCTACAGTAGTGATGCGACGGCGGTACCAGAGAGAGATGCAGGAGCGGCACGAAATGCAAAGCAAGAGACTTAGATAATCAGGAACGTGAACGCTTGCTTGAAGTAATGCAACCAAAGGGGAACATGCGATGCGGAGATATATGCAGAGACCAAATGTGCGGACCACCCGGAACGCACTGGACGAGATAGGATGTAACAGAAATAAGAGAAAGGGACGAAAATATTAAAGAGACCGTAGACAGCCTCTTAGGGAGGGAGGAGCAAGACAGGTTGCGGTGCAAACTGGCCGTTGTCGCTCTTGCTTGCATGTCTTGGACAATTACGCGGGCAGAGAAACGCTGCGAGGGAAGAGTCGTTGGTATGTCGATTTCCCGAGCTTGGCGATCGGCACGCTCGTACCATGAACTACCTGGATAGTGTTAGTGTATTAGGCTTCATGAGGAGTCTAGCGGCCGAACTGGCTCGGAGAAGATTCTCACTTACAATGCTGCAGATAATCAGGAACCAGATGGTGACCAGCATCGTTTCGCCCAACTGCTTCGCGTCTGCGCGCTGGCCGTCGTCATCTGTCAGCGTCTCCAGGAACTCGAGACCGACATAGAGGTAGAAAATGGCAGAGACACCGATGGGACCAAAGTAGCCGACGAAGAGGGCCTGCCGCGGGCCTTGGATCTGGCGGATGTAGCGATGCAGACCCAAAATGACGGGAAGACGTCTCAGCAGCAGGACGAGAACGCCGAGCGCGACCAGCCGGTACGGGCTGACCAGCTCCGAGTTCCAGAAGCTCTCCCACGGACAAACGGCGCCCAGCCACATGAAGATGGCCATGTTGAGCATCATGTCGACGGCGGGCTGCACGGGGTCTTCGACCGTCTCGAGGCGGAACCAGTCGTTCCAGGTAAAGACGTTGCCGGCGATGAAGCACGCCAGCACGTCATCGCTGCCGACCATACCGCACGTACCCAGGATGAAAATGGCCATGCCGATGGGGAAGAGGAGGAAGCATTCCCGCTCGACGTATTTGCGCCGCTCGGCCCAGTGGAGCAGCCTCTGCGCGAGCAGGCCGACGACCCAGCCGTAAAAGACGCTCATGAGAACGACGTAGACGCACGTCTGCCCGAAGAAGAGGCTCAGCGCGGCACCGAAGCCGCCCTCGCTCGAGGCCGGATTGCCGTCGCTTTCAGTGTATTTAATGAGGTAGAGCGCGAGGAAGAGAAAGGGGTATCCGAGGCCGTCATTTGCGCCCGACTCGGCGACGATGATCTGCTGCAAGTCCTCGGGGACGTTCTCCTCGGCGAAGCGGCCTTTGACAATGGTGGTGGAGAGGACCGGGTCCGTCGGGGTGATGCAGGCGGCAATGGCGAGGGCGTGGACGAGGGGCAGGTCCGGGACGAGGAGCCAGACGACGGCGCTGGTGCAGGTCCACATGCCGATCATGCCGGGGCCGAGGAGCAGGCAGAGGGACTTCCACTCGGTGCGGAGGTAGCGGCTGGGCAGCTGGACGCCGGCGAGGACGAGCTGAACGCCGAGCACGAGACGGCTGAAGTCGAGGGTAACGGAGGCCACGGCATCTTCGGAGACGGCGTGTTCTCCGGGCTTGAGGAGCTTGGCGACGTGGGTGAAGGTGACACCTCCCAGGAGAGAGACGACTTTTTGGCAGCAGGTTCAGTCAGCAAGATGCGATGTGCGGTGAGTCTTTTGACGATGATACCAGAATTCCAGAACTGTAGAGCGTAGCCGATGGGGAGAAAGGAGCCAGGGTAAAAAAAAAAAAGAAAAAAAGGAAAATCGCAGCAAAGCAGCAAGCTGTCTTCCACTTACGGGCTTCGGAGAGATACAGGTTCTCTTTGATGAGATACGAAAATGTGCCAAACAAGACGAGCCAACCGCCGAGCACACTAATCACGACGTTGAAATTGGTGATTGAAAGATCCATGACTTCGCTCAACGCGCTGCAACCAAGCCGCCCTGACCGGTCGTCTTGCCCCTGGGTCTCGAGGCCTTGGGATGATGAAGGGGTTGAGCGTGCCACGGCCGCGGGGACATGGAATGGAAATGCCTCAATCTATGGGACCAGACCAGATGCCGCTGTTTTGGAAAGTCGAGCACGAGCACTTGTACGAATGTTGCCGACAGCCAATACTATGTAGTAACGTTTACAGGACGAAGAGAGGGAAGGAAGAGAGTTAGTCAACCGGGAGGTATGAAGAATCGAATCTGGGAATATCAACAGAGGATCAGCTGGAATAGACATCCACGGCTATCGGATCGGAATCAACACTCACTACATCGGACGCCGTTGTTCTCTCTCTCACGCGCGCCCGCAGGACAAGATGAGGGCGCCCACTAACGGAAGCCCACCCATCCATTTCTTTACTAGTTCTGATCTCCTGTTCTTTCTCTCACCCATGGGATGAGGCATTTCGAGGCTTAGCCTCTGGCCCATGTTCGTAGCGCCCGCTGAAGCCAAGTCACCCTGACCCCCCTTCTTGCAGACATGTGGCCCCCCTGCTGTTGACCTCCCCTAAGCTACCGGTAGTACATGGGGTCCTCATGCAGGGTTCTCTCAAACTTTCAAAGCTTCCGCGCAGAGCACCTGACCGTCTTTTCTGACAATCCCATCTCGACTCTCCTTAAGACGGCCGCGGCTGTCTGAGACTGCGGGGTCTAGTTATGCGCCCAATGTGCCGCCAGCATCTTGGTATCCTAAGTCGACCGATGCCTTTAATATTTGGTATTCTTTCCCCCGAGCGCCTGAAAGCAGTGCCGTTATAACCACTGGAGAACCCAGCTAACGCCCCCTCCGCTCTCCGCATGCACCCCGCTGTAGGATTCGATCCGAACCCCAGACGGGAAATCTTTTGGAGGTCTGGCGTTGTGCACTAATATTACTTACATCCAGTGAGGATGACTGTGATACAATATCGTGACTAGACACTCTGAGAGAAGACGCTCTCTTCTAGAAATGCATTGACTTCCAGGTAAGAAATGATTCTTTGCAGGAAGGGACAACCACAACTATTTGGGAAACTTGTTTGCATTGAACACTGTCTAGTGCTCCTGAGTGAGCCAAGACGACCTGGGAAGCCTACAGCACGTTTTTGATGAGGCAATTGGCACGTTATAACTCGAGGAGCAACAACAGATATGATGATGATGATGCCTGGCGGGATTTCAACTCTTCGCCCAATTGAAGGTCAGCGATCCTCTACAGTCAACAAAAGCCTTATAAAATTTGAGATTGCAGCACACTTTATTTATTCGGCTCTCGTCGCTCTTTACTAATCTTCGGAAATTTCTTATTAAGTTCGTCTCCTTGCTGTTGAAACCCGTGGTTGGGGTCGCGAAAAAGACCCAGAGACACTGTAATAAATTCCTTTCATTTAGGATGTCTTCCTACAAGGAGAAAGGGTTACACCAAAAGTCGCCGTCTTAGATAAAGCTCCATTGTCACTGCGGCCCAGGCCAATTCTCAGGGGAGTAGTTCTGCAGCCAGTATTGAAGGTTGCAACGAGTAGACGACGGCCTCGCGATCATCCTTGGCTTCTGCATCTAACAAGACTTGGGAACAATTTATTCGCCAGAGTGAATGAGCCTCATCTACACGTCTTCTCCGATGCCGAACCTACATGACAGCAACTCAGCTATGCATGTTCATTCCCAGTCGGCTTCGACAACACCGGGATACTGATAACCACAGGTAATTGCCGTCTTTGTCGAACAGTCTTCGACATCTTGGCTGATGCATGTGCCGCTGAAACCCGGGTCTGACAGTCAAAGTGCGACTGACAAGAATTTGAACGACGTCGACTTAGTTTCCCAGCTTCATTACCAGCAACTTTGCAGACCGACTATCGGAGGATGTTTGACGAGTACGCCGAAGATAAGACGCACCGGTGGCGAAACGCCTCTCACATGCCACTCCCTCATATAATATTCCAATGAGACGAGGTCTGACGCCCACTGGCAGCGGATCGCAATTAGTGACAGAGCGCACTGGCAGGATTGCGGGGACTTGTAACGACCCGAAGATAAATATTGCGATTGATTTGGTACTGATTAGATTTCAGAGTAAATGTCAGTTTCTGTATAAGATTTGGGCGGATGTCCCGGTGACCATCCTTGATCCTCTTCGCGCCAACCCTTCGTCTCTACTTCTTGGTTGCTAGTCGCTAAGCGCTATCGCGATTCTCACCCCGAATTCTTCTACTCGTTAACAAAGCACCGTCGAAAACACCAACCATGGGTTCGAGAGAAGAATATTCCGTACCTCAAGAGGCTGAGGTGGTCTTTCAACACGGCATCCTGAACAACCCTTTGATGAAGGACCTACCGAGTGACCTCAAATCTCTCAGCCAACATGTCAAGTTCGAAGGCTCAAGTAAGCCTAGCGTTCCAATCAACTGGAGATTTGCCGAGAGCATCTCGGCGTTGAAAGCACTGGAAGCAACTATGCTCAATCGGTTGATTATGAAAAAGTACAGCATGACGCCAATAGATGTTACGATCAACACGTAAGAAATCTTCTCCGAATGGGCTACATCTGTCATAAAGTGGCAAAAGCTTTACTGTAGAAGCAAAAGAACAAGGCTTACAAATATGCCAGCGACCATGCCAGCTTGTTCTACTTTTCGCCCCTGATTGCTCAGCTCGTTGGGAAGGATGGCAAGTTCACGCCCATGGCGCTCATGAACTTCGTGCCCGAGGCCATGAGGATGTTTCCGGAGACGGACAAGCACAGAACCTCTGCTAGCTTACACCGAGCCTTGGTGACAAACATCCACAAGACAAAGGATGGAAGATACTACCAACTTCACGGTGAGGCAGTGTCCAACAGCACCTCACTTAGAAATGATGTGTATTCAATATGGCTCTGCTAATACCTCGTTGACTGAGTAGGCGGCATCAACCCCGATCCCATTCTCAAAGCCCTGGGCCTGCCGGAGGACGGCCCAGCGGATGACACATATGAATCAGTATTCGAGAGAACCCAGAAAATAGTCTCCAAGATGGACGCCAAAGATCTGGACGCTCTACTGAACGATAAGGCGCGACAGTCTGGTACAGTCGCGTGGTCGTCTGATGAGTACTTTGCCAGCGAGCACGGCAAGGCAAATAGTAACGTCGGGCTCTACGAGATTGCAAGAGATGACGGCTCCAAGCAACCCGCGTCCTGGTGGTCCGAGAAATCGAGCCTCCCCTCGTCGCCCAAGAGGCCCCTCGCTGGCCTAAAAATCGTCGACCTGACACGAATCATCGCCGCCCCGCTCATCTCGCGCGATCTGGCAGAGATGGGCGCGAGTGTTATGCGCGTGACCTCGGACAATATTACAGACATGTCGTCTCTGCACCAGGATCTCAACTGGGGCAAGTGGAACTGCCATATGGATCTCACCAAGGACGAAGACAAGGAGAAGTTGAGAGGGCTGATCAGGGAAGCGGATGTCGTTGTTGATGGATATCGGCCTGGTGCCATGGAGAAGCACGGGTTCGGCCGCAAGGAGATTCTGGAGCTGGTGAAGGATCGTCAACAGGGAATCATCCATGTCCGTGAGAACTGTTACGGGTGGCATGGGCCGTGGCAGGGTCGTGGTGGATGGCAGCAAATCAGTGATGCTGTGAGTCTGATCACATGGAGACATTTGACTGATAATCTGGCTAACAAAAAATTAAGTGCTGTGGTGTCTCGTTGGAGTATGGAAAGGCGATGGGACTTGACGAGGCCGTTACTCCGGTGTTTCCCAACTCAGACTATTGGTACGTTGCACGGAGGACACAATTGCTCATGTGAGGTCATCTTTTTTGCACATACTAACCTAGGAAATAGTGCTGGCGTCTGCGGTAGCACAGCTGTTCTCGATGCCTTGATGAAGCGTGCCGAAGAAGGCGGAAGCTACGGCGTCGATGTACGTGTCCATCCATCTGCATGCCCTCTGTCAACTCTCGCAGCCTTTTCAGCTAACCCATGTTCACAACAAGGTTGCTCTCAATTACTATTCCCAGTGGCTTGTCCGCTCATGCGGCACGTACCCAGAGCCTGTCTGGCAGGAAGTTTGGCAACGCCACGGTTCGCCCGTTTTCCGCCATTTCCATACCATGGCCCATAATGTTCCGGTCATGTCCAAACTGCTGCAAGAGTATGACGCGCAGATTCTATTCCAGCCTCAGTTCTTTGAAATGAGAACGTCAAAGGCAGTTGACGGAACCTTTTGGGTCGTCAAGCCGGTCCTGCAGTTTGATAACAACGCGGTTGAGATGAGGTACAATGTGGGCACGAGAGGTAACGGTGTTGATGAGCCTGCTTGGCCTGAGGATCTATCTACTGAGGTGATTGGGAAGTGAGGGAGGATGGATCTTTGAATCAAAGTTTACGAATTAAAGATCTATAAAACCTAGAAAACAGAAATGCTTCTCGCTATCATTACGAGCAACTAGCAGTCATGAGGAAAACACTTTCAAATATGTACACAAACCCGCATCGTCGACACCTCACTCTTGTGCCTCTTGTAAACGAGCATGGCTCACCGCTTCCGCAAGCTCTGCTGGCGTCACCCCAGCCGGATCTCGCAGCTGTGTAAACGACTCCCCGTCTTTTGGCCCAAGAACTCCAGCGTCCTTTACGAAGCCACGGGCCGAGTCAAAGAAGAAAATAGTTGCATGCAAAGAGTCTGGCGCAACCTCTGAGACGTGAAACTCTGCCGCCGGGACCGAGTATGTTGCTCCCCTGGTGTGCATCTCTGAATGCGTCTTTACAGCCCGGAAGAGCTTGCCTGTGTTTTGCACCACAGAGGAGGTCTGATGCGTCTTGTACGCAGTGCCGGCTCCCTTGCCATCGTTCCACGCAAGAGCATATTCCGCATGCGTCGCTTCGGCGGGATGCTCGACAGGCTCGACTTGATAGGAGTGATCCACGCCCTGCCCGGCCAAGATCCAGCTCTGCGCGAATGGTTGATGGGAGTGCAGGTGAAAATCGGGGTTCCCACGCTTGCCGTCCGGCATCCAGACGTGCAGGCGGAAGAGCTCGTCGATGCTGCCGTCTTTGACCAAGCTGCACAGTGGCACCGACAGGAAGCCCTGGGCGCTGCGAGCCGCGGCGAACTGCGTCTGCGGAGAGCTCAGTGTCGTCAGAGCGCCGCGGAAGATGTTCCAGCAATGGTTGATTTCGTCTGCCTTTGCTGTTTGATTTTGGCGGGCTGTCTCGCGGAGGAATGAGACTGCTACAGCAACAAATGTGATGTGAAGGGTGGCTTCGGTCATGCCAGGGACGCGTTGCTTGAGGAGGTCTTGCCAGCCTTCAAAGGATAGACTGGTGGGCTGATTCTCGGTTTTGTCGTTGTCTCTGACGAAGCAACCTGAAGTCAATGATTGTTTGATTGTGTCGATTATATCAGAGGCAGCCTTGGTAGCCTGTGCGACTCCTGTCAAGGATCGTAAAACTGCTTCATAGGGAATTTCCATGGTTTCCCGTTGATGCATGGAATTAAATGGCTCTGCTGTACAATCCTCAAATCTTGTCGCAACTCGAACGCTAAAGTATGTCTGAATAGGTAGTGCGCGATCAAACTGACTTTGCTCATCACGTAGTATTGTTCGGGAATAATGAGCTCATATAAAAGTTTGTTTCGAATGATGGATGTACGGCTATCCGCAAGGCACATCGCATGCTGAGTACTGATTTCTTTGACGAATCACAAGCGGCAAAGTGGTAACACACGCCTAGCACAGCCCCGATGCATCCTGGCATCCAGGCAACACTGGGTAAGAAAGTGGAAAATCTGGCACATTTTGTCAAAAAGGGAAAATTGTCAACTGATTGTATGGATATCTCTATTACTACAATTTCACAACACTAGTGTCTTGCTCCCTCACCGTTGACAACCTTGTCAATGTTGCGATGAGTGCCCCTGCCGGGAGCACCATTATTCTCCGTCAGACTCGTGACGTCAACGCCATTGGCGTACTTGTTCTTTGCCTCCCTTGCGAATCCATTGTGTGTACCATTAAAGGTCAGGTTGGCAATGCCCTCGTATCCCTTGATACCAGTGCTCTTTTCCAACCTCTCTGCAATTTCGGGATCAACCTCCCTGAAGATGGCAATCTGCTTCTTCAAGGGCTCCTGGTTCTTGCACAGCTCCATCTTGCCCGTGACATTGTTGATGAAACGCTCGCGCGCAGCCTCGTCCCAGACCTTTTGCCACAAGGCTCGCGGCGCAACAAAGTCCTCTGGTCTGATCTCGGACAGGAAGGTGATGGCCTGGCCAGTGAAGTGACCATGCGTCTTGTCCAGGTCGACTGCGCGGGGCTTGAACTGGACGGGGTCAATGGAGCTGAGGTAGTTGGGGCGGGCACCCTGGTTGAAGAAGGCCATGCTGCCGTCGCGCTGGAAGTTGGCGATCTTGTGGGCTGTCTTTGGCGCGTTGACGGGCAGCTGCTGGTAGTTGACGCCGATGCGGTGGCGGTGGGTATCTGGGTAGGAAAACAGGCGAGACTGTAGGACGGGATCTGCGGACGGCTCGATACCGGGGGGGAGGTGCGAAGGGTTGAAGGCAACCTGCTCAACCTCGGCAAAGTAGTTTTGAGGGTTCTCGTTCAAAGTGAACTCGCCGACCCTGCGGAGGGGGTATTTGCCCTGGGGCCAGACGTGCGTGAGATCAAAGACGTTGATCTTGTCATTCTCCCATGCATCCTCTGCCTCCTTGGGTGTCATGGTCTGGATCTCCACTGACCACTTGGGGTAATCGCCGTTCTGGATGGCTTCGAACAGGTCCTTTCCGGAGTAGTCGGCTGATTTGGTGAGAGAATCCTCCTGTGTGATGAACTTGGTGCCCTGCTGAGACTTCATGTGAATCTGAGCGTAAACCCATGATCCGTCCTTGTTGACAAGCTTCATTGTGTGACCGGCATAGCCGTGCATGAAGCGGTAGCCGTCGGGAATACCGCGGTCACCCATCAAAATCATGACTTGGTGAATTGACTCGGGGTTCTCACTCAAGTAGTTCCAAAACTGTTGATTCTCGTTAGCAGAGAATAACATCTATGAACGGTGCAAGGGCGAAAACTTACCATGAAGGAGTCATCCATGTGGTTGAGGTGCGTCTGTGGGTCACGCTTCTGCGTATGAATGAACATGGGAAACTTGGCAGGATCTCGCAAGAAGAACACCGGTGTGTTGTTCGCCACCATGTCCCAGTTTCCTTCCTCGGTTCTGAACTTGACGGAGAAGCCTCTGGGGTCGCGAGCAAGGTCTGGTGAGCCAGACTCACCGCCGACCGTCGAGAAGCGCACGGTGATGGGGCACTTCTTTCCCTTGGTCCCAAAGATGTCGGCCTGGGTGAGTTCGGGAATCGGATCCGTACACTCGAAGAACCCGTGGGCACCGCTGCCCTTGGCGTGCACGACGCGCTCTGGAATGCGCTCGCGGTCAAAGTGGGAGAGGAGGTCAATCAGGTGGAAGTCTTGCAACAACAACGGGCCATTCTCTCCGCATCGCTGCGCCTCGTAGGGGTGAGGCATTGGTGTGCCGTTGCTGGTGCTGTAGATGGCTTCCTTGGATGTCGTTTGTCTGTCCTCCTCGTAGGTGCTGAACTGGCCTGCCACATGGGCTGCGAATGATGTGTCGGTGGAACCCATATTGAATGTCTTCTGGGCAGTTTCAATGGGATGTTTGATGATTCTTTGGACAGTCTCCATGGGATTCACAGGTGTTGAAGGGTCTTATATGAGTGTAAACCATGCGCACTCTGCCGCCACCCGCTGGTGCTTGGACATTTTATATGGAGGGCTCGAACGGGCAAAAAAAACATCAAAACCCAATGGCATGACGCAGTTCTACAGTATACCGTCACTCGTGCACGTTGAACGAATTACAAACCACAGATTACTACTTCGAAGCAGTCTGGAGGCGGGTACTGATGTCAGTCTGTCGTAGCTGCTTGTGAGACTAGGCCATACCCGCATTAGCACCCGCTCTCCAGGGGGCGGCTCGGAGGAGTCGATGACGCTTGGAACGCAGGAATCTGGGCCTCGACTTTTCGATTCTGGAAAGCGGCCCTAGCTCGGGGATAATTGTACGCTGAGGATGACCGCGGGATGGATATCACAATCGCTGCTCCGGAAACCCTGCGCTCGAAACAATTGGCTGAATTCTTCAAAAGGACTAGCAGATATGAAGAAACCAAGGTCTGAAGATACATATACTGTGTAGGTATGACGGAGACCAGAAATGCGGGGCGTAAGGGGCCGTTCTAAGACGATTACCTAGAGTTCAGCCTCAAACTCTGGCCACTTAGGGTGGAAAGCGTACCTTAGTTGGATTGCTTATTGAGAATAGCCTCACGCTTTGAGAACCACGATAAGACCGTACCTTGAGGGATTTTGAACCAATCTGCGGCTTCTTTGTACGTAGGCCGACGGTATATCCCTGGGATCTCGGTCTCTCCGTCCCGTAATCGAATAGGGTGAATCGACTCTTCCTCGGACTTGCGTACTCTATGATGCTCTAAAAACATCAAGACGTCGACTTTAGTTTGGTGAGAATAGGTGTGATGACGGTGCTTGACAGGATTACTTCGTGGAGTATATTTCCGGTCTTTGATAGGTGAAGGGGCAGGCCCGCGTCGCTTGGGTAGAGGTGTAATCAGCTGAGAAGCAGTTTTCTGATCCTTCTCGGGAAGGGGCTGTCGTGAGGGCATCGTGAGCTCGGCGGCGGCGGCGGCGAGGCCCGCAGTGGAAGTTTGGGTGGTAGAAATTGACTGCCGAGGCTGGAGAGGGCCGCAACGGGCTGCGGGGTTAATCGCTGGAGGTGGGCAGAGGTGCAAGGAAGAAGCATTACTTCTTGACCGCCTGCCTAAAGAAGTATAATTGATCAAGATAATCCACTATACCATAGTGAGGACCCACTATATCATAGTGCCTTAAGTCGCTGAAAGGGGCCAATCGAGAGCTGTTAGTGGGCGCTAGCAGAGTGGGCACGGGCTTAGGTAGGTACCTAGCGCAAATACGAGTGTGACGAGTTTCTACGGTAGGACTATCAAGCAAACGCCGGCACTTGTTTCGAGGCACTCGAAGAAGCAGCGCTACCAAAGCTCCGGAGATCTAGCTCCGGAGAACGCCAAAGAATATTCAGATTCCCATCCTTGGATAATGGAAATCACAAAATTCCATGTGTGTTGTGCCCAGGGAATCCCAGATTCGGGGCGAAAGCACCGATCCGCATGAACGCCATCGATGATGTATGCGAACAGCTTGCCACGCACCCGCTGATGTCATGGACGAGAAGCCCGAGCCAAGACCGATGACAGGCCCCGCCCCCGCCGCGACCTTGGCCGGGCGAGACTGCAGATCTGGAACGTATCTGGTCATATTTCAGAAGGTCGAGGACTCAAGGACGCGGCGTGGTCGGGGTTGCGGCACGCAAGCGGTGGCAACGAAGTTGGAGATAGCGTGGTAACTAGTGAGAAGAAACCGTTGAAAGATTGTTTGAATTTGTTATGTCCGGTTTATGTACATCCATCCCTGCAACGTCCGAGTTAATAATCTAAAACACATACTACCAGACTCAACAATCCAGCAACGCATGCCAGGTCTTCTGCGGCGCACCTCCTGCGGAATACCAAATATTCTAAATGCTAAATGACGCTGCATGCGATTTCAAGAGAAAAAAACTTTTACGGGAGGAAAACCCTTTTACCCATTTTTCCACAAGACCTTTGATAGTGAAGCCGTCTTCACATCAAGCCGACCAATCCAACGTATCAACCACGTCAACTGAGGACTGACTTTGGCCTGCTCTACTTTATAACTCTCATCCAGTTTTCAATTGCCTAATTTTGTTCAATGGTTTCTTCTGTCACCTCGTCCTCAACCCTCGTGCTATTAAGAGGGGGGTAATGCGCAAGAAGGAGAATGCCGACGGCGACCACGGCGAGAGCCTATACAACGCATTAGTCAACAGGCACCGAAATGCTTGAATATCCCAAATACTCACGGCGTTTACGAAGAAAGTCAGATTCGGTTGGCCAATCTCAGATAGCGTAGCAAACACAAAGCCAAAGATTCCCTGTGTCGTCAGGGTCGCTGCACTCTCAACCAGGGTGATGGCACTGAGGGCATCTTGTCGCATATGTGGCGGGCACATTTCCGTGATGACGCCCTTGGCTGCGGGGGCTGAGCCGGATGCAAAAGGCAGCAGAAAAGCGGCTACAGGTAAAGGAAGAAAAAAAGATTAGCATTTTGAACCAGTCTTGGTGCTTTCCAGATAGGGACTGAAGAGGCTCACCAGCATAGACATGCCATCCTTCCGTCGCCCAAGCCGCGAGGGACGTGACGATTCCATCCACGACCAAACTCCACCGCAGGAAGAACAGGTCGAAGGTGCTGTCCTCGTCCTCCTCTTCGGGCGGTGCCTTGGTAGGTTCCGACGCATTCATCAGACCCGGAGAAGGGTCCATGTCTTCGGGATGAGTCGGGATGAGGCTCCGTTCCTCCTGGGTGAGTGTTTTTTGCAGAGCTCCCGCATGAGAGGATGAGGCGAACCACCTTCGTCCGGTGTCGATGATTTCCGGGAAGATGAACATCAGGAAGATTCCACGAATCCATGAGTTGCCAGACATGAGGATGCCGTTCTCCGTCGTGCCAAAGTTGAAGCGTGAGGTGGCGTACATCTGGATGAGGATAGGGGCATAGCCAGTGGCGAACTAGGATGCTGTCAGAGTGTTGCTCATGGATGAACCGACAGACGTCGTCAGAGAGTAGACTTACCACGCCGAAAAAGATACCCAGGGCCAGGAAGACCAGACCGTAGTTCTTGACAATCTTGCCAGATTCAAGACGGTACTTGGAAGGCATGAGCACCTTGATAGGAGCCAGGAAGCCAGAAGCGCTTGGGGTCGTCTTGCCGTCTGTCTCATCAGTCTTTTCCGGGGGCGCGGGCCAGAATATGGCGCCATAGGTCGTGGCAAAGGCGAAGCAGCCGATGGCAGTGACAAAGGGACTGGTGATGCCGAACACGTCACCCAAGACACCGCCGACTGAAGAACCGTTAGCATGCTGGACATGGAAAGGAACAGGCAAGACGAGTGGCAGTTGAGACGTACGCAAATAGCCTATAGCGGTACCGATCATGACTGCGCCCTGCAGCCGACCAAAGACGCCGGTATGCTTTCTTCTCTCAACAACCTCTGCAATGGCCGTGTTGAGGACGAGCCTAAATTACAATCCATTAGCGCCCCGGGCCCGGTTCATCTCCAGTTGCGTTTCTGCGCGCTTACATGTAGCCCCGCGGCCCACCAAAGATGCCGATGAGCTGCGTGTACTGCATCAAGTTAATACCCCTCTGCCCGCCCGCCGACACGGCGAGGACCTGGCACGAGACGCGGATGCCGAGCAGGCCGGTCTGGCTGATGAGTGCCCAGCGGGTGCCCCACCGCTTGATGAGGTCGCCGCAGATGAAGAGGTTGAGGATGCCGCAGACGGAGGTGGTCATGCCGAGGATCGAGACCTGCGTTGCCGTGTTTGCGTCAATCTCGCGGCGGTGACACCTGTCGGAGGCGGGGCCGTCGTACGGCGCGTGAGACTCGTAAAAGGTCTCGCATGCCATGACGCGGAAGACGTAGATGATGCTACGGATTGCATGTCAGTTGCCCGTTACCATTTGTGCTGTGGGTAGTGAGGGGAGAGGGGGACTTGTGCGCACGGAACTTGAGTGAGGCCCAGCGTGAGCGACACGAGGAAGCCGGCGAAGAGGATACGGTTCGACGGTGACCAGAGGCCGCGACCGACCCGCTTCACGGCCCCGGCGCCGGACTTGAGGAGGGGCGTCCGTTCATCTGGATCGGCGGCCATCGGGGACGGGTGGTGTGTAGACGGAATACGGTCACAGGGTCTCTAGGGTTTTGGACAATCACGCCTTGGTCCAAAGGGAGTGGTCGCTCTATGAGGCTCAACTTCAAACTTTGGCAGAACTAGGAAGGTCGGTTGAGGATTTCGCAGGGTGGAGGGACGGGAGGAGGGGTTTCAAGAAGGGAACAGACGGTGACACAGCTCATCTAAGAGGGAAAGAGGGGGAAACAAAGCGATTCAAATCCGAGAAAAAAATCGAGCGAGAAATTGTATGGGATTTCCTGCGAATTCCCCGGATTGCTAGGATGTGTGACTGTTGCGCCGAAAAGACGTGCGGAATCCCCGCTATTTCGTCAGGAAAACGATGGACCTTCCACCTCTGGCCCTTTTTAAAAGAGATCTTGATGGAGCGCCTCTGACCGATGTTGGCTGACGGACGGACTGGCGCCGGGAGTGAGAGAGTGAGAGTGTGAGAGTGTGAGTATGAGAGAGAGTGTGTGTGTGTGTGGAAGAGCAGAATAAATTAGTACACCATCGAGCCAACAGGTAGCGGCAAGAATGACTCTGACTGCCTTACTAGAGCATGCAAAGGATGGCTGAGAAGACCAGCGATTCCGCTCGTTTCTGTTGGTTGCGCCGGCGTGGGGTGTGGTGTGGTGTGGTACTGTCTGGTATGGTGCGGTGTGGAACTGCAAAGTGCAAAAAGCTGCAAAGCCGACGGCCGATGCAGGAGCCGAGCGCGGCCTTTGTCTTGCCGACCCGGAGTGGAGATGGTGGGGTCCGGGATAGATTGAGAGGCGCTGATAGGCCTGAGATAAAGTCGCCGGAGTCTAGACCCGTGGACCGGCGCAGGACCGGAGCTTATCCGGGAACGCGCTGCTTATCGTCGGCCTACAGCCGCTGAGGCGCCCGGCAGCATGGCGTCCCGCCGCGGGAGCGCCCGATTCCGGCCTCGATGCAAATGCGCCGCATTCTCACATAGATATTTGATTCAATTTTTGTGAACTTCCGATCGAGAATGGATGGTGATAATCAGGTACATGTACTTTTGCCCTCAAAGGCTGTCTTTACACACTGGCATTGACTACTAAAGCTTCACGTGGGCCAAATGCTTCACAGCAACGGGTGCTCCAGCACAAGCTTCCCAAACTTTCCCTGCTCAGCCACCTTCTTCACCTCCTCCAGCGCCTCTTCCGCGTCCCCCGTGAACACGTCCACCACAGGGATCGAGAATCTCGTGCCGTAATTCTCGACAGACCACATCAACGCCTTCCACATTCTCCCATAATCCTCCGGCCGGGCCGGGATCGTGACGACGGGGCCGGGACCAAGCTGTAGGCTGATCTGCGCATTCGCCGACGCCAGCGGCATCTTGAATCTCCCGCTCGAAGCCTTCACAACGGAGAGGATGATGGCGTCGTCGTCAACGCAAGCCGCCGTTTGCGACGCCGAGGTCACCTCCCCTTTGGAACCAGCACAGTCGGCGGCGTAACGAATCGGCCCCGCCCCGGCCTCTTCCGCCGCCGCTTTGATTTGAGCAATTACGTCTGGGGAGTTGTAGTCGAAGCAGCGTGTTGCCCCGAACTTCCTTAGCATACCATGCCTCTTCGGAGATGCGGTGACAAAAATGGGGGATGCGCCGCTTGCGCGCGCTAATTGGAGCATACAGATTCCAACGCTCGTGGATGCGCCCCAGATGAGGAGCGGGCCGGCCTTGAACCCTTCTTTTGCCTGCTCCCCAGGGAGAGGGTAGCCGAAAATGTTGTAGAGGCCGTCCGCGGCCGTGGTCAGAACCACTGTGAGACTCGCAGCGTGCGTCTGGGGCAGGTTCTTCGGGACCTTGAACATCATGTCTTCGGGACAACTCAGGTACTCTTGGTGAGCGCCGTGCCTCAGCGGTTTGCCGATGCCCGTTGGAACGTAACCAGCCACCAGTTCATCTGGCTTGAAATCAGACGTCTCATTGCCAGCCTGTACCACACGGCCGCAAAAGTCGTAGCCGAGGGTGACTGATCGGACACCGACGGAGGACGCGTGTTTCACGTCTGCGGGGTTCACGCCCGAGTAGAGCACCTTTACCAATACTTCGCCGTCCACGGGTTCGGGGATTGGGACGTTGCGGATGACTGAAAAGTTGCTGTCTTTGTCGACGTAGAGCGCGGGCGCTGAAGATATTCCTGTGTTGCCCATCGTGAATTTTTTTTTCTTAATGTCCACTCAATCTCGGACGTCCTACAGCTCACAATGGGCAGCAGACCAGAGACTTTTTATGCAGCAACCTGTGGCCACACCAGGTGGGACAATCAAACATGAGTTGACGCATTGTTTGCCCCCTACTAGCGTCCACCTCTCCGGGAATCACGACCCCATGAAAAGCATGGGGCAGCCGGCGGGCCGCTGAATAACGGCGAAAAGAGCTCTGGGGGAATTATGGACGCTTTACGACCATCTTGGACATCTTACTCAAATTGTCAAGATCCCACCGGTATCATCCAAGAGCTTAAGGTCGCCGAGACTCATCTTTGCGGGGGGGTGGGGAGGCGGGCAGAGAGTAAGCGGCTTCGTCGGGTGATCAGCAGCGCCGAATGGCGGGGGAGAACTCAAACGCGGTCATGCTGCATGCAGGCTTTCATTATGCCCAGAATCGAGCCCAATAATTGTGAGGCCCTCGGACCTGTCTTGGAGAATATTACCCCAAGAGGGCAAAAATGGTGATGTGATTGGCGGGTAGACAAAGTGAAAATCTGCCGTCAATCCACGCCGGTGAGAGGGGCCGCGTTTCTGAGTGCCCACCGAGATGTCTGCTGCTACCCCGGAATCGGGTCAAGTCCGAGAACTTGAGAGTCTCCTCAGATGCAAACATAGGTAGCCGGAGGGCTCGGACTTATGGGGGTTTCATTTAACAAAGGTGCGAAGCTGTTCTCAAGAGAACTGTATCTAGCTCAAGACAAACACCGTACCTGCATCAACGGGTAGTAGTTCTGCTCGAGCTTTGTTACACTGAATACACATCAACAACAATGGCGCCACTCATCGTGAACAATATCGAGGTTATTCAGACCCCCACCAACCCACCAGCATGGCCGGAACCCAAGGCACCCTCCCGCGTGGAGCTGTCGGCGGGAAGCCAAAAGACCCCGGATCATCGCCCTCTCCCTTGCGACATCATCCTTGAACGGGATCAGCCCTTGACGCTGCGGGACGGGACCCGCATCCGAGTCGACATCTTCCGACCGAAGACGGATGAGAAAATACCCGCCATTCTGATGTGGGCCCCCTATGGGAAGACTGACACGGGTACGACTCATTGTGATTTCCAAATGCTTTATTGTGCACTACTAACGGTTTATCCTAGGCACTCTAAATCTAGACAAGATCCCATTGCGGTGTGGCGTTCCCTTGAGCAAGCTGTCGGGCTACGAGTCTTTTGAAGGGTACGTAGACTTATTCATCCCCGTAGCCTTGGCATCATATTCAAGACTGACTTGCACTAAAGACTTGATCCCGCTGAATGGATCCCGAAAGGCTATGCCATCATCAACGCGGACGCCAGAGGAGTGGGTGACTCTGAAGGTGACATGAGGACCTGGGGCACCCCGGAGGGTCAAGACGGCCACGATGCCATTGAGGGCATCGCAAAGCTGCCCTGGTGCACGGGAAAAGTCTCTCTAGCCGGTAACTCGTGGCTCGGGCTGTGCCAGTGGTTCATCGCCGCCGAGAGACCGCCTCATCTGGCGTGTATCGCGCCTCTGGAGGGCGCGAGCGATCATCTTCGAGAGACCTTGTGCCGCGGCGGAATCCCTTCAATAGGATTTGGGGCAATGATCAATAATGTGGTTTCTGGTAGGTGACATGCCGAGCTCCCTGTAGGGTTTGCACTTTTGACTGAATTACTGTGTTTCAGGTCGTGGTCAACAAGAAAATACTGTTGAGATGTTGTTAAAGTATGGGCAGAATATCAGGGATTACTGGGATGACAAGAGGGCGCGCATGGATAAGATCGAGGTCCCTGCCTATATCTTGGGCAGCTATTCGACGATGCTGCATACCATTGGGAGCTTCAGAGGCTTCGAGGAGATACCGCACCAAAACAAATGGTTCGTTGAATGCGATATCAAGACTCGTGTGACCGTTTACTGATTTTTCTCAGGATTGTAACACATGCCACTCAAGAATGGTTCGATCTGTACAGCCAGGAACGTATTGACGACTTGCAAAAGTTCTTCGACCACTACATGAAAGATATTGATAACGGTTGGGAACATACTTCCCCGGTCAGGCTTGCCGTGCTGGGGTACAACAAGCCGCCCATCATCGACCTCCCCTTCGACCATCTGCCTTGGTTACATGTATCAAACAGTAATGCGAAGACGGAGCAGAAACGTCTCTACCTGAGCGCCGACAAGACGCTACAGCTGTCCAATGGCACCAGTTCCACGACCCTGGGTTACAAGGGCACGGAGAGCGTGGTACTCACGCACACATTTTCTCAGTCCACAAAGCTGCTGGGCCCAACGAAGCTGGTAGTTCACGTGTCCTGCCCCTCCGCCACGGACTTTGATGTGTATGCGCAGCTTCGGAAGCGAGACCAGGACGGCAATGACCTCGAGCACCTGAACATCCCCTTTGAAGCACTCCCTGTATCCAATCTCAAAGAGATCCCCAACATCAACCCCCTCAAGTATCTTGGACCCAACGGGAGGCTTCGGGCTTCGAAGCGCAAGGTTGCGCCCGAGCTGTCGCTAAACTACTGGCAGACACTGGCTCACGATGAAGACATTGAGGTAAAGGCAGGGGAGATTGTCAAGATGGAGGTCTGGATTTGGCCTACTGCTATTCAGTTCGATGCCGGGGAGCAGCTGGTGCTCAAGGTTGCCGGCACAGATAATATGACACTGCCGGAATTTGAGCTCTTGGCTCAGGAACCAGCGATAGCGGCTGCTCAGATTGTGCATGTTGGTGGAGAGTTTGAGAGCTACTTGGAGGGGCATTGGCAAGACTGAGAAGGGTGAGAAACATTAGGGTCGGTTCTCGCGTTGTTTCTGCGTAAAGATGAAGCTCGCAAACCCACAATCAATTACATTACAGTAGTTGTTTCAAAAGAATTGAAACTAGTTTCTTTCTGAAGCACTACTCCAGTGCCTGGATAAACTTGGCAAAATCTAAAGTACCCAGACCCGTCGCCGGATCCCACCCAGCCGTGGCAGACCATCCACTTTCAACCCGGGATCCAACAGAACAACTTCCACTGGTCCCGCCCGTGACATCGTTGATCGCGGAGCGAAGCTTGTCAGAGTACAGCAGAGGATTCAGGAAACCCAGAGCCGGCTTGCCCTCCCTCATCCGCTTGTCGTTTGCGAGGGCAATCATTGCAGCGATGACGGGCAAGCTGGCACTGGTGCCCTTCTGCGTCCACCCAGGCTGGATCAAGAAACGGGACCCGATGGCCGAGATATCCGGGCTACCACGCCCATTGGGCGTGTACCAGCCAGCGTGAGACCCGTTGATGCCGGCAATGTACGCCTTGGCCGCGGACTCCTGCCAGGCCGGACGCTCAAAGTACTCGCTGAAGCCGCCGGAGCTGTACCACGCAGGCTCGGTCGGCGCGTAGTCACCCGTGGCGCCGACGCCCGTGACCCAGGGGCAGCCGACGGGGAACGTCGGGAGGAATTTGGTCGTGTTTTTGCCGTCATTGGAGATGCAATCACCTGAATCGACGCCCGCTGCCCCGCCGTCGCCCGTCGCGACAAGGACAGAGACGCCGCGGGCGGCAACTTGCATGAAGAGGTCGCAGACGCGGTGGGCGTAGGGCTGGGGGATGGTCTGCTCGTCGTCGGTGTACGAGATGGAGATGACGTCGGGAATGGTCTCGCGGGCGAGCAGGGCCTCGAGGAACTCGATCCAGGGCTCCTGGATGCTGTCTTTGAGGTCCTTTTCTTTGCCGTCGGGTCCGATGTCGGGGCCGCGGCCGCCGGTTGAGAAGTAGGTGACGTTCATCGGCTGGATGAAGGGCATGCTGTACTGCATGTCCAGGAGAGCCTCGACTCCGTTGCCTTCGGTGGTGTTACCGCCGCCGTTGATGGATACCACGGTGAGATTGTACTTTGACGAATAGGCGGTGTCGTTCCGGCGCGGGCTGTATGACGCCAGGAAGGCTTGCAGGGTCGGGACGCTGGGGTACTGCTCCAGGAAGCCGGCGATGCCAAAGTCCGTGGGTGATGGACCGTCCGGTGGGCTGTAGTTGATGTTGTACAGATCCACGATACAGTCGGGGGTAGTGTAGTCCCAGCAGCTTTGAGGCACTTGCAAATGTCAGTCGTGTGTGTGCAAAGATTTGCCATCATTCATGATAAACTTACTCGTGCTCTGTCGCTTCACTTTACCCAACTCTCTCGCCTTGATCTGTGGTCTAGGCGGCTTGCTAACGAACTGAGTAACCGGGAAGACAAAGTCAACAACCTCTGACACCTCGCTCGGGAGAGCGTACTCCTCGGCCCTCAAAACGATCTCCTCGCTCCTGTATTGGTACTTGGAGAACTTGCAGCCCAACAAGCGGTTCGCTTTACCGACAGTAGTCTTCATGCGGACCCAAGGGCCGTCTTGGACGAAGTCGCGGATGCCGTGAGCGGAAAGCCAAGTCGCGACAATAGTGTAAGATTCGGCGTCTGGCTCTTGGAACATCCTCAAGAGATCGCGAGAGACGTGGGCGCCATATTCGGGATGGCTCGGGTCGCTAGTAACCTCGAGACGCGCCTTGAGTTCTGACAAGCCGGGCTGCTTCAACGCGACCGAAAGTTGTATCGTGTTGAAGTTGTCGGCCGGAGCAACGTGCCGCCAACCTTTGGGCAGCTGTTTTACAGACTCGTGAACTGCATGTCCGCTCGTGGTTGGTTGACTGAGAGCGAAGCCGCTCAAAACCAGAGCTGAAACTGACGATAGCCTCATCTTTCTTGTCTTGTTTAGGTCTGACTGATAGGCGTCAGAGAATGTGTCGAGTCTCTGTTTGAGTCTTCTCTCAGCTGGCTCGCAATAGCGCTTGATCTAATACCAGCGCCAGCCTTCATGGGATGGGGCCGGGACAAGCTTTTCGGCAACCCGTCCGGATCACTCGACCCGCTTCTTGGCGATGAAGACCATCTCGGGTTGAATTCGAGGTTTGACATCATCGTGGACTAGTTCCCCTACCAGGGGTACCCATGTAACAAGGCTTCCTGCCGTAAATGGTGAGATCTCCGCCAAAAAGCTCGTATCCAAAAGAGAGAGCAAAGAAATACGATCAGAAGACTGCCGAATCCCGGTCGAACAAGTTGAAAGACGCCAATGTGACCAACCGCCGGCCCTGGATTATACCCAAAATACTCAAAAGACTAGACCGAGTCGACGGTGGTTTGGCGCATTGAGCCAACCTCGGTTTGACTCGACAACAAGCTGCAGTCACCTCATCTGTCCC